AAACTTGAACATTTGTCAGAAATTATCAACTTACCAAAGAAATAGTGCTTCTTGTCCTCGTAGTATTTGTTTCCATATTTATCAACACCAATAAGGGTCCCTGTTTTCACATCATTTACCCTGCAACACGAGAAGAAAAATAAGATTTTAAACAACGACAAAATATTCTTTAAGGGAAAAATATTTTTAACAAAAGAACACGTCACTTCTAAATTAAAATTTGGTTGATTTCTTTCGAACTGCATTAGAAAATGTAATTTTGACAAATTTTCTATGGCAAATTTACCGTTAGCTGTCAACATGCTAACTAAGTTAGCTTCACGTAGACACAGAAATAAGCTCTAACTTAAGCGTGTTTCCTTAATTTCTCCATCATCTTAAAACAGAAGAAAACAGTTGGTTCTATGGTGCACCGAACTGACCTAAAAAACTGGAGTAAAAGACCCCTGAGTCCACCATGACCTCTTATTTGTCCCAAAGCCCTTCGGACCAGATTAGAATACTCCGCCATGTTTAGACGGAAGTGCGGCAAATATGTCCTGACGAAACAAGGCGAAAAGAAGGTTCCGCTATTAATGGAGACTTCTTCTTCTTCTTATGGGATTTTATGGCGGTTGGCAGACTTGTGAATTGTGCTTTACCGCCACCAACTGATATGGAGTAAAGCAAGAAAACAGGAAACGATTCACCCCCCCAAAAAAAAAAAAAAAAAAAAAAAAAAAAAAAAAAAAAAAAAAAAAAAAAAAAAAAAAAAAACCTGTGTAACTTAAACCAACATAATACTAAATCACATTTGCCCATATAATTTTAATTTACTCTAGGTCATCTTAACTCTGCCAGTTTCTGATGGTCCCATCGGTCCTCCCATCATACTTCCAACCATCTCCCAGTTCAAATCTTTAATGTCCAGATATTTTTCTGCAGCCTTCACTATTATTTTGATTTTTTCCGTTTTTTTTGTTGTCTGTGCAGTACAATTAATAACTTCTACCATGAAAAGAACAAAATTTGTCTTTTTAACAATAAGTGAGTCTTCATCAATTTTTAGAGATTTCTCTAGAGGTTTGGAATTTGCTGTGTGTTGAACTGTAGGTTTGGGTTTTTCTGACTGAGATGGGATCCTTTTTGCAGCTTCAGCGTAGGTTATTCCGAGCTCAAATTTCATTTTTTTAATTTCCTCAGACCTTTTGCTTGCTTCACAGCCGCGATAGGCAGCAGTATGTTCTCCACCACAATTACAGCATTTTATTTTAGCTTCTTTTCCACATTTTCCGTACTCATGTTCTCCTGCACACCTTCCACACCTCTGTTTCCCTTTACAAACTGCTGCAATGTGACCGAATTTTTGGCATTTGAAACATCTCAATGGTGGAGGATTGTAGATTTTGACATTATAGCTTATGTAACCGATGAATACTTTGCTTGGTAATTGCTCTTCTTCGAATTTAATTAGCACAGATAAACTGTCAGATCTTTCTCCGTTTCTTGTTGTTTTTAACCGTTTTACTTCTTTTACTTTTGCACCTCTTATGTTTTCCAGAATCTCTTTTTCAGAAATTTTTAGAGGAACTCCTCCAATGACTCCCCTGCTGAACTTTTTGTTCTCCATTAAGCTGCACTGAACTCTTATCCCGTCAATTTTGTTGATCCGTATTGCTTTGCCTTGCTGGGCGCTGTCTCTGCAGATAATTAGCAGGTCTCCACTGTACAGAATTCTGGCACCTCTGACTTCTCCGACAAGTTTATTGATGGTTTTTGTTAAGTGAACCGGATTCCAATTTGTAAAAGAGTCTGCCTGATTAACGACTTTGAATATGACTTTGAATTCATTTTGTTGTGCTGTGGAATGTATGGAATGATCATCACTGGATTGTTCTGAACTAGATTCCCCTTGAACTGATCTCTGTTTTTTCCGCTTTTTCTCATTTTTTGATGTTGCTATCTTCCAACCTTCATTGTCACTATTTCCCTCTTCCATCCCACAAGAATCGCTTCCTGTTTCCTCACTACTCACGGCCCAAGACATTTCTCCATAAGCAGCTTCAAAACACGCGCCATGCACCAAACGACCATCCACATGCAATCTTTCTTAATGGAGACTTCTTTCTTTCCTTTTCTTTTATTATCTAAACATGCATTCACGATATTTCTAAATTGCCCAGTCTAGACATATTGGATGTGAAGCTTCCAGTAGACCTAGTAGTCAATAATCCTTAATAATTGAACCTCAGAATTTTATATCATTTACTTTTTCCACCTCTACAAAGTCTAATCTGTTATCATGTCCAAATATATAATTGGTAGAGATTTTCACAAACTCAGGGACAATTTGTGTGACGCCACCCTGGAGAGAAATATCAGCTGTGCTGCTGCCATCAACACCTTTGTTTTTAATGTTGGATTTGCCTGTTTTTCAGTGTAGTCCTGTTTCTCTGACTGTGACTAACTGGATTTGCTCTCTTCATCCTCCGACATGGGAGTTGACTCGGAGCTCGTCTGCCTGGCTGTGTGTTTCCTGGACGGGGCCGCCTTTTACAGCTGCTTTTTGTATCTCTGCTTCTGTCTCCTTGAACCCCAGTCGGCCTCGGCAGATGGCCGCTCACACTGAGCCTGGTTCTGCTGGAGGTTACTTTCTGTTAAAAGGGAGTTTTTCCTCTCCAATGTTGCTACAAGCATGCTTAGTGTGAGGGATTGCATCCGAGTCAATGCAATCAACTGGTTTTCCTTAAATAGAAAACAGATTGGCACAAGAGACAGTCAATGTATTTATAAACACTTTATTAAAAACTGTTTCCTGACAGTTTAGAAATTCTCCTCAAGAGTGAACTCTGTTTACAAAATGTTAAAGTACAGTCACACAGGAAGGCTTTAGAACTTGATTCTCCCAAAATGCTGCAGCAGATTTTTTTTTATCATTAACTAAGCAATCACATTACAATGATACAACATAAGCCAAACAGGCCTAAAGACAAATTTGAACTCAATCATAAGGCGATACAGAGATTTTTCAACTCATTTGATGACATAAATCAGTTCCAATAAAGTGATAAATTGTGTTTGATCCACAATCAATCCCTGACCTAAAAAGACACAAAGCAAACATAAAAACGGATGGCAAACTACTCCGGCAATTTTTTTCCTAATCTTAAAAACAGGGAAAAGAAAACCCCAGTGTCTGTAAACTGAAAGATTCATTTCTAAACAAAAACTTTGCTTCTGAGCATTTATTTAAAAGAAACATAGTTCATGCAAACTTCCCACAGTGTTGACGTGCAAAAGTAGGACAAAAACAATGATTTTGATCCTTTTCTACAAAAAAACTCTGAATCGGAAAATAAATGGCAGCCTGCGCTTTTCAGACAATACATGTTCCTAGTTTATAAATATTAGCTCTTGTTTTAAAAAACAAAAAACAAAAGAATAAGGTCAGCATTGTTTGTTTATGTCCTTATACACAATAAAAAATAAACAAACAAAAAATAACATTCTGGTTTTGGCTAAACAGGTGAAAAAAAAGGACATTTTGAAAAATATCTATTTAAAAAAATGTGACATCTCCAGTTTTATCCAGGATGCTGATTAATTTCGTGTTAGACCCTTTCAAAATAAACTTACACATTTTGCGTTAAAGCTGGATTTTCACAGTAAAATCCCAACTTGTTTCTTAGATTCTGCAAACATTATTCAGACAAACTTCCTTGTTATTACTTCTCTGCAAAAACAACAGATTAAAACTGCCAGATTCCTCATACACTCACTGATAAAGAAATACAGCAAAGGCTTAGAAACCAGATTTATGTGTAAATGATTGTTTGCACAGCCACCAGGGGATGGGCAGCATCAGGCAGCAGGCACTGACAGCCAAGAACATTATCAGGGAAGCCTTTCATCTACGGATTCATCTAAGATCAGTCCTCAGAAAAACGGCACAGAAAGCAGAACCTTGACTTTGGGCAGGTAAGCTTTCTGCTGTCTTTGATCCCTCAATCGTAATCAAAAACTGACTGAACTTTATTGATCTCACAGTGGAGAAATGAACTCTGCCCATTTAACCCATCCCCTCTGGGTGCAGTGGACTTCCACTGTGCAAGACTTACGGTCTTGCTCAGGAACCCAGAGTGTAGGCTGTGGGGATCAAACCAGTATTTGCAACTTTCTCAGAGCAGAAGCGCACTGCTCTAACTACTAGGCCGACAATTTTTATCGAGATAAATTGAGATTTTTCAATGGGTGCAAAGGATATTAGAGATGATAAAAAGCAAACCCTGCGTTTCGCATACATGTTTTAAACACCACAACAATACAGCAAAGGAAAGTCGTAATTAAATCTTAATAGTACATCAGACAAAAATAGTTTGCTCCTTTAGCTTAATTTACTCAGCTGAGGTGTTCTAGAAGCTCATGTTGTTTTAATAGAGGCTGTATTGTTGAGTCTGCTCTCTCTCATCTTCCTATTGAAATTAATTCATAGAGTCTGGATGACTGATGGCCACTTCGCCACCCCCGACTAGGCGATGAAAAAACATTCCATTATTTTTCTCCTTTGTCCAGGTAACTTTTCTGGCTCAGTAATCGCTTAAGAGGACTGTAGTAGCTTGGCTATTCCAAGCACTGCTCCCTCACTCTAGATTAGATCAGAATCACATATAACTTCTCTCTCTGCTGCTGGTGAAACTTATTTTCAATAATATTCGATTCAATTTAAAAGTAATATATTAATCCCAAAGGGAAATTAAATTATATCCCTCCAATTAACTTAACATGAATGATGCATCAACCTGTGAAAAGCCAGCTTCTTTAGCAATAAGCTATTTGGGTTTACCCTCCTTTTAAAGGGTGTTACAGTACGTCCACTGGGGATCTTTGAACTTAGACTAAACATACTGTTTCTCTATACGAGATACATCCTATTTTTAAACTCACATTTCCTGTATCTGTAGGGAAGAATCCAACTTTAACCATTATATCAAGGCCAGAAGGAGCCACGCCCTGCTGACCATTATATTACTTAATATTTACATCTCCACAGCTTTCCTTTTTACCAGTGAGTGTATGCTGCTTTACAAAAAAGTGATTCCTTCATCTGAAAGCATTTTGAAACTCGTCCCCAGGCCTCTCGGCTTTAAAGCAGCTGTTGCACAGTTTTGGTCGTACTTCCTCACACGTGCTTTCTGGACTTGACCGTTGACCTGCGGTTGTGACGGGCTCCGAACTCGGTCCACATTGCCGAGCATCAGAAGCTGGAGCTTGTCCAAATGTCTTCATGTGCAGTTTACTATCCGCCCGCCTGCAGCTCCTCCTGGAGCTGATCACTGACAGCAGAAGCGACTACTGCTCCAGAATCATGGCCTCCTGGAAGGCTTCGATCCATCTAAAGATGAAAGCACAAAAAAGCCTTTGTTGATTTTTTTTAGCTGAACAGATTTTGTTTTTTTTACTGTGGGTAAAGCTGTTTTTCCCGCTTAAGGATTTAATATATTTTTTTACAGATAATGTGAGATTTTTACTGTATAACGAAACCTAAAACAAAACTAGCTTTTAAATGTTCACCAGTGCTCTCATTGTTGTCTTGTATTTAACTCTGAACAAGAGTTAGATCTAAATCTAGAAAGTTAGATTTCAAAAAAATCCTTAAAAGCACCTCTTTTTATCTGACATCGTTTATCTTTACTTTAAACAAACTGAAGGAAAAAAATGTGTAAAATGTAAACCCTCCTGTTCAAACTCTACTATGGCTGTTTTTAATTGTTCGCTTTACTCTTCTTTACCCTTTTCTGGTGTCTATTTCTATATTATTATATTTTTGTTGCATATTTTATGCACATATTTCTTTTTTTGAAACGTGTTAAAACAAAGATAAACAGAGGAAAAATATCAGCTGTTTAGAAATAGTACTTAGCAGAATTGTTTAATCGTTTTCTACGTTACTTTTTCCAGTATATATTTAGCTAAATATTCTATCTTATATGGAAGTAAATTTGTGTCGCTGGGATTTGAATTAAAAATGCCACCGAAATTTATTTCAATGGTGAGTTTATTACTTTCATTTTTCTGTAGTTGAGTTAGCGTTAGCTTGCAGCATGACTGAGCCGGTCATACAAGCTAACGCTAACTCAACGGTGAGTTTATTATTTTAATTTTTCTGTAGTTGAGTTAGTGTTAGCTTGCAGCATGACTGAGCCGGTCATACAAGCTAACGCTAACTCAACTACAGAAAAATGAAAGTAATAAACTCACCGTTGAGTTAGCGTTAGCTTGCATGTCCGGCTCAGTCATGCTGGTTTTCCTTCGCTATGAGCACCACAAGCGTCACGTGACTAAGAAAACGTAACGGGATTGGCTGGGTGTTGGACGCCACAATCCATTGCTAATGTCTGTGACCCGAAGTAACCCTTCCCTTTTTACGCTGAATTTAGACGCCGAATTTAAGACAGTGAAAAAGAGCGAGTTGAATCTCAGGAGGCTGAAAATATAAGAGTTTGAATTTTGAAAGGTTGAATTTTTTTATCTTCAGATTTTTTTAATACTCAAAAATTAAACTGAAAAATAAGTATTGAAAATGTAATCACTTTGAAATAGTAATGTGAATTTTTAGCTTGAAGAAAAAATAACAAATGAAATTTCAACTGTGTAGAAATAATGACAATGATTTTTTTTTTTAGGTAAAAAAATGTGTTCTGAATATATTTTAACACTGAAACAGTAAGAAAAAACATACATTTAAATTTCTGTGGCATTTTTAATTCAAATCCCAGCGACACAGATTTACTTCCATAATCTTAGAGTCTATCTTGATTTATAGAAAATATTTTGGTAGTGAAACTGATAAAAAACTGATAAAAATAGAGTGATGGATTTTCCCACCTCTGCGCCGTGGGAATGTCGTCTGCCTTGAATATGTAGAACAGCGTGTTTTTGTGATAGAGCTTGAACTGCAGCTTCTGAGCCGGCCCGTTCTTCTCCTCCCTCAGGAAGAAACCCAGCAAAGGTTGGCTCTCCAGCGCCGCCACGTCCTACGCCAAAACAGAACCGCTCAGTGTTAGAGGGAGCAGAGCGGCGTGGCGTCTATGAAAACATCAGCAGGCTCAGGCGGATTACCTCGCTAGCAGCGTAGGTGTACAGAACTTTATTCTTTATGACGAACCACAGCCTTTTCCATTGCTTCTTGTTGCCTTTGGACCTGTGTAGGTAGCCGCTCATGGAGGAGTTTTCTGTGTTGGCGGACACCTGGACGCGGAAAGATGAGACGGATCTTAGGATCCTTAAGTCGCTCTCTAAACTGGGAAAAACGCTGAGCTGCTTTGTACCTCTTTTAGTGCAGCGGGGATCTTCTTCTGTTTTCTTGTGAAGGAAAACGCTCCAGATTTAATTGGAGATGTTGATGATGAAGCTCTGCGGTCACCTGGAATGGATAATATTATAAAACATGAAAATTGTTTGTTTTATCTGAGGTTTTGCATAGTTTTACATACAAATTATAGTTTTGCCAGTGAAAGAAATTCAGCTTGCTTTAACTACTCAGGGTAAGATATCGACTGTATGCATCAAATCCACATAACAAAGTAAAAAAAAAAAAAAACCGCAGCTGGTTTTCATTACTGTTTTCCTGAAGCTTGGCGAAGCAGTGGTCGCACACGCGAGCCGGTTGGTTCTTCAAGTACTCCAGGTAGTACTTATTAGTAGAGCAGGCCTGACACACCACCTATCAGACAGACGTGGAGCTGCGGTTAGGAGTGGAGTTTTTTATTACGCTGAAGGCTCATCCTAATGTCTGCAGACCTTCCCACAGGCCCGGCAGTGATGCCTCCTCCATGTGAGGGTGAACTCGCAGGTGCAGATCATGCACATGGTGGCTCTCAGGTCTGGAATCCATATGGGAGCTTTTGAGCCTAAAGGGGCGCCGCTGTCAACGACACCTTCCGCCTGTATGGACAGAGATGGTATTAATTTATTTGCACATTTTAACAAAATAAAAGTTGTTTAAAGGTTTATAAGGATGTGGTTAATCATTATTTTCTTGCATGTTTATTAGCAGTGCTTTTTTCTTCCAATCAGCGTTCGATTTAATTTCTTAGAAAGAGCTCTCCATGAGCAGCTAGTTTCTTTAGCATCTTGTCTTGGTACTCCTTGGCCTAGGTTGGTATGGTCTTGACTAGGGCTGCAACTAATGATTATTTTGCAAATCGATTAATCTGTCGATTATTCCTTTTGATTAATCGATTAATACTCAGACAAAAATTCCTTAAATAAAACTTTTTTATGAAATTAAACCAGGTGAAACTTAAACTTTTCCACTTGTAGAGTTCTGGCTAGAGCTTATTGACAAAATTATTATTTTTTTTATCTTAAATGGAGAATATTTATATATATTTTTTTTTTACAATTTTGGTATATTTACTACTCAAAGTGGGTGTCTCTGTCAACTAAAGGCATGTTTTTTATTGCAGAGGTCACGGATTAGCGGACCGCGGTCTGGATCTGGACCCAGCAGGTGGTTCCAGATCCAGACCGGACCAACCTGATTTAAAACATTTATAAATTACTGCATGTTGTTCGACGACAGTGTCTAACTTCACTTGCACTGCTTCTCCTGTTAATATGATAAAGCCCTCCGGAGTGTCCGAAACCAGGCTACACGGGATACAAATTAGCCAATGAGCTGCTTTCAGTCTGGGTTGCTGCTGCTGCTACTTTTAGACACAGAAACCTGTGGCAAGCGATGGGAAAGAAGGAGAAGATGATGAGAAAAAGAGAGCAGAGAAAGTTTGGACTGCTGGAAGAACTGTGGTGAACTGGTGAAAGAAAAGTGAAATGGTGCTCAAAGATGACCCTGAACATTTAGAGGATGTTTGGCTCAACCTGCTGCTGTGAAGCAGGATTCTCCATCTTGAACAGAATCAAATATAAATATGGATCCAGGCTCAAAATGAGCTCCTTGATATGTGCTTTAGAACGGCTTAGTCTCCATTCAAACCCAGGTTTAAATCCTTGCAGGGCAGCCTAAAGCCCTCTGCTCTCATTAAGACAGAAAAAAGAAAAAACAATCGGTCAGTTCAGGTGTTTTATAAAATATGTGAATCAGGAAACTGCCTACATACCAAACTGAGCGATTGTTGTTCTCTACTTCAAAAAAAAAAAAAAAAAATGTATATATATTTGTTTTAATTAAAAATTCTATGTATAACATGGATGCATAAAAAACAAATTTTATTTTAGTGTTAAATTCTGTTTAAAGTAACAGATAATAATTAAAAACATCTCTGGACCTTTACTGGTTGGTGATTTTCTTTATTCAGACCCCGCAGATTTTTAATTGTTTACCCCTGTTTTAGAGTCTCTTTACTCCAGTTAACGATTAATCAATTACTGAATTAGATGGCGATTATTTCAATAATCGATTAATCCGATTAATTGTTTCAGCCCTAATCTTGATTACAATTGATTGTTTTGGTTCTCTTTAAACCCAGAGTTAGACGTTGATCAATAAAGCAACAGCAGAATATAGAACATTTACCCCAATGCTGTTATTTACTGGTTTAATAAGCTATAAGCATCAAAGTTAATGGGAGGGAAAACATGAAATAAATCTTTGTGTAATGAATGTGTTCATCTCTGGGTGTCACACTGATTAATAGTTACCTCTTCCTGACTTCGGCTCGATATGAAAGTTATTTTCTTCTTGGTGTAATCTTCGATAGCCTTGCCGATGGCCTCCAGCCACTCATCTCTCTCTTTAGCCGAGCTGCAAACACAAAGTAGGACAGAACTCAAAGTCACAGTTAACACCTTTAAGGTCGGATTGTTCCGGGGGCCGAGTGCTGACCTGGCGGACAGGATGAAGGAGCGCTCAACGCTTTCGATGTTTAGCTCATTCTGATAGGCCTCCTGACTGGGCTTACTCACCTGGGAATAAAAAAGAATCAAAATGTGGTTTTATAAACTGATGGTAATGAGAATTATTAGTAAAACCACCCGCTTGTTGTGCCTCTAACCTTCATTCCAGCCAGAGACAGAACGCTGTTGAGTTTATACTGGGCAGACTGGACCGGAGTGGTGTACATGAGAGCATCGTTGAACTGAAACAAATGGAAATAAAACACTAGCAATGAAAAGAGGGTGAAAATTTTTTTTATGATGCTCCTACAAATATAGATCAGTCCAAACGGACAAATAAATATAGACTAAATATTTAAATAAAGATCTTATCAGCAGAGGTAGTTGTTTTCTGATCAATCATTTTACAAATGGAGTTAAAAGCTGGAATAAATTGGTTAACCAATTAAATGCAACTGCGAATTCATGTTTTAATTAATGGCTGCAGCTGAAACGTGTGGCTTACCAGGAAAAACATCCGCGGCTGCATGACTTTCCTAGACAGCTTCATCAGCGTCCCCTCCTTCAGAAACACCTGGAAAGAGAGACATGTTTGCCTAATGTTTGCAATGCCAGGTCCAAAGGCTGAGCGGCCGTCCTCCAAGGCTCTGAACAGACTCCCACACTGTGACCCTCCATCACTTTTTTTAACATGTAAATAAAAGTCTGACATTCCCTAATCTGGTGCTTTTGACAGGATTTTTATATTATTAAAGTTGTAGGACGTACCCTGCCTGGCTGAACGATCTCATGCTGGCCGTTGAGACTGTACTGAATCTGCATCAGCTTCTGAAAGTTATCCTGCAAAACAGCAACATGCACATGAGGAGGAGGGGCGGCTGATTCTGCAAAACTAACGTGATTAAAAGCCTTACCCCTTGCTTCATGATGTCATTGGCATGATTGGCTACTTCCTTCACGACGCTGAGTGCAGCTGCATGGTGAGGACACATAAAAAAATCAGTGAAGGGTGTATTTTAAACCTTAAAACAGTCGATGCAAGAAAAAAACACAGATTCTCAACTAACTTTGTGTGTCTTTATAGTCCTCAGAGTCCTCAGGGAGGTTCTTCAGATAATCTGCAAAAGAGTAAAATGTTTAAACACATCATTTCCCAGCAAAACTCAACTATGTGTCAGTTTGTTTTTTTTGTTTTTTTAAATATCTAGAATGGTTATTCATTATTTCCTGGTCTTATCTCACAAAGTAAGATTGTGATCCTGTTTCAGTTTTACTGCTTCATCTTTTTATTTCATCCTGTCATATTTCACCTCTGCTGTTTATTATCGACACAGTTGCCTTCATTTTTCTGTCACATTTAAATAAATATTTTGGTCATTCTGCTTTAACGTTCATGTATTATTTTTAACATTTAAAGCATTTCTACCATTTAATGTTTACCTTCACTCTTTATTAAAAGCTTATTTATTTTCATCCCGTTACTTTTACTGATACTTTATTCATTTTTAATTCAATTCAGAATATAATCATTTAATTTTATGCCAACTTATTTTAAATTTTAGTCGCATTCTAATAATTCTTTAAGGTAATTTAAATTTAAGATTCCCTTTTTTAGCACCTAGAGGTTCCTTCCTTTAATCTTCCATTTTTTAGACATATAAAAATCAACAAAATAGTTAATTTTAGTTTGGCTGAACTTTTGTTCACCATAAAAAAAAAATCAACCTATATTTTGAAACCCTTCTCAAACCCAGACATGCTCTTTAATTAATTAATTATCTTTAGTCTATTCTCTGTATAAATGTATGCCACTGACAATAAATTAAGAAACTAAACCAACATTTGTAATTTTTCACTTTTTCACAATGTTAGAATTGTTTTACTTAGATGCAGGATGTATTTTTGCTTCAGTCCACAAGGTGGCGATATGCTACATAAGTGTCTGCCAACAGAGCATCCTCATTCTCGTGCTGCCAATAAAGTGGTGCCATGATCTAATAAAGTGTTGACCTGGAGTGCTGAGAGGACAGAGCAGAGAAGGAGAAGGAGTTTGTACCTGTGAGCAGCAGCTGGTACTGAGGGATCCTCTGCACTGGTTTCAGAAGGTAGTGTTTCAGAGCCAGGCTGGCACATCGTGGACTCATCTGAGTCAAAAAAACAAACACAAAGCTTTCGAAGATTGCATACGAAGACACAAACGCTGACAAACACAGCTTTAAAATTATTTTAATTTGAGTTGCTTTGATGCAAAGGTACCAGTAACCTTGTTTGCATTAAACGCTTTAATTCTTGTTCAGCAAAAAGCCTTTAAATGAATTAATTTTTCATTGCTGCAGCATAATTTTACACTGAAAATATAAAAATTATCCCAATTTAAGATTAGAAATGTATTTAATAAAACCCCCTTTGGAGAAATTCTTAATATCCTGTCTGTTTACTTTTTAAAAGCCCGTTTTTACCAAAAGGAGAAGTCTACTGACCATCTGTCTTCATTTGAACTACACTATTTTAATGTACAGCTAATTTTCAATAGAATTTTTTCCCCCAACACTGAGATTTTTCTCGTTGAGGTGGATGTGAATTTATGCTGCTGCAATCTAGAAAATACACATGAAATAATTACCTCAAACTCTCGGACGACAGACGCAAACGCCGGGTTCTTCCTGCACTGCTCATCCAGCAGAGCCACGTTGTTGTCAAACTGCCGGATGTAGGTGGAATACATCTTCAGGTAGGGACCTTTCTGGACAAAGATGTCCGACAATCTCTGATGGTCGCTCCTGTAAACAGATCGGCAGTAAGTTTGTCGGTAAGCTGAGGAGACTAATAAATCCAGCGACCTAAAGGTTATTTGAAGACATTTTAGTTTCCATTTTATCTCCATTCAAGTAATAAAACAGGCTCTCCTTTGAGAAACTAGAGTTGGTGGAGAAATAAGACTAAAAAAAGTAGAAACGATCATACAGTGATGAGAAAAGTATTTTCTCCCTTATAGATTTGTCCTGTTTTTGCCTTTTTATCGAATTAGAAGGTTCCAGATCCTCAAAAATTTTAAAATGTAACAAAAAAAAAAAAAAAATCAATCAATAAATAAAAAAACCAACAGGTAAAAAAGCAAAATTGACACTTTGGGTGTCTTTAACTGTGGAAGAATTTTGGTCAGTTTGATGTAGCTCCAGAAAAAAAGAAAAAAACAATTGCATTTTCTTATTTCAAGTTATCTAATTATCTTATTTTAAGAGTAAAAATACTCATTCTATTGGCAAATCCTCTTACTTACCTACTTAAATTAAGGGTAAATACACTTAATTTAAGAAATCTTTACTTATTTCTAGATTGTTTTTGCAGTGAAAAGGTCTCCGTAAACCTTTCATTTGGTTTTGTTTTTAAGCCAATCAGAAGTGACCTGACGGTGTTCTGATAGGATGCGCATTAGTTTGAATGTTAGATTACCAGTGTGCCACCCTCTCCTCCAGCTCCCTCAGCAGGTCTTTGTTCAGCTGGTACAGCTGCGGCAGGTAGTAGAGAATCTGACTGAGGATCCGCTCTTCCACCACTGGCTTCCCGTTCTGACGCGTTGCCTTGGCAACAGCATCCCGAAAGTCCTAAAGAGAAAAACGGGGTAAAAATCATGGACAGGACTGCGCTGCAGCTGAACAGGAACACCTGGTCATAAACTGCCTGCTCCCTCTCACTCGTTTTATAAATCAGTAAAGTCAGCATTTTGAGTTTGCCAAGTGCACCGACATGCACCTGGGAGGAAGCAGGGAGGCCGAGCAGGGACATGATGTCCTCTTCAAATTCTGCTCTGACTCAAAGAAATACAGAGGATCTCCGAACAGTAGAGTGCATATCATGAAATTACATCAAGATCTAACAGATTCAGAAAAATGAGCAGATAGGAAACAGAATTATGATAGGCATGCATGTGCTGAGGTCATGGCTTGCAGCCTTAGGAAGCAGCTGCTGCAGAGCCAGAAGAATGTTATCTGACCTCTTCTGTTGGCCAGGGCTCCACTTCTGGCCCTTCCCCCAGCAGGGATTTCTACTAAACAAGCCGTTGTTTTACTAAAGCTATCAGACAGGTGGACACTAGAGCCACATCAACAGGCTATTAGGAGCTTTCTATACTTATTTAAATTCTATGTGTGTCCTTAATAAACAAAGGCTAATAGAAGTTCATGTTTTGATTGTCTGAAAGAAAAATATTCAATAGAAAAATCCAAGTGTCACATAAGCGTCTTAACCTTACTTTATTCCAGGTATTTAAAGTGATTCTGTAATTATACTCAGTGGGGATGAAAAGCAGATTTCTGGGTGCAGTGGGGATGTTTATGGATGATTTTCTATACAAAGCTAAACATCCTGTAGTCAGCTGGTCAATGATCCCCATTAGTAAACTAATGGGACAGCATAGATATAAATATTGGACACAACAAGATGACAATAAATGACTAATGCAGCATTTAAAGGATAAAAGCATCATTTTGGAGGCTTACATTTATTTAAACAGTGGCAGTTCTGAGATAGCCTTTAGTTTAGGGCCAGATATAAACTTCCCAAGCTGCAGCATGAGGCCATATTTCATTGTGCTTAGACAGTTAGAAAATTGATTCAGGGCACAACTGACTGATCATGATTTTTCTCTGCTAATTTGATAAAATGACGCCGCTGGCTCATAAATCTAAACTCTCCGTATCAACAACAAACCAAAGGGAATGTGAATATATTTCTCTTTATATGTGACTTTCTCTATTGACGCTCTGTAATTCAAACGTTTGCCTCCTTCACAAGAAAGTCACGACGGATAAACTGTGAGAATGAAATGGCTCCCTATAGGTTTTAGAGACAGAGACATGACATCTGTTTAAAATTGTGCTCTGACTCAGAGAAATGCAAAGGATTTCCTGACAGTAGAGTGAATATAACTTTACATCCATCTATAGTTAAGAGTCATCTGTAAAGAAATGCAGTTTATACCATTGTTATAAATAAGTTTCACAAGGAGAATAGAAAACAGAAGGGAGCCAACAACTCGACCCTGAGGCACACCACCGTTTAAGCCTCTTTCCCAATTAAAGTAGCGGGTCAACACAGGTTTTTCAACCATGGGTCGACCCGCTAACGATCAACATTTGGTGCAGTAAGTTTTCTTTATTGTTTTGTTCTTTTGTCTGTCCGAATCTCTCTCACCAATGCTGCAGCATGTTTATCGATTGCGAACAGAGTTGTTTTGGCTTTTTATATAAGATGGGACCAGCGCAATATGTTGATCTCCGTATGTTGCGCTCAATGGTATCACATAAATTAGCGGGTCAACCTTGGTTATCTTCCCACAGTAAACCGATTGGAACTGAGCTCTTTTAAAGGCATACTATGCACCATTTTTCAGTTAATTAATGTGTTCCATAACGTTTTGGATGATTAAATGAGTCATTTCAGGTCGAACAAAGGTTTTCTCGGCCGCCCTGGTGGTCTGTAGGGGAAATACCGTACTTGCAATTGCAGGAGCCCTTGGCCCGCACCCACAGGCTCAGAAGTCTGGTGCATCGCGAGAGTCGCTCTTGTTTAACGGCGAGAACTGCTACACGCCCCCAGTGAAAGGCATGCTCGTTGCTAGCGCAGTGGCGATATTTGTGCAGTTATTATGGCGGAACCAGCGAGAAAACAGCGAAAGCCCATGTCGGAACCATGCTAAATTTTCAAACTCGAAAATTGGAACAAAATAGTCACTTACCGCAGCAGACATGGTGATTCGTTGCGTTCGCCTGTCTGCTAACCTCAAAACAACCGCGCCTGGCTTGACGGAGAAACCAGGAGAACAGCTGAGCATATTTACGACAGTGCACTTTTACTTTCGCCCTCTGGGGGGAGCCGCGCTGGAAAATCAACACCGGTTGCATAGTATACCTTTAAGGCCCTTTTAACCCGCGTCACTTGCCAAGTCATTTGATGCGTCATTTGCCACTAAATTCCCGGGTTTAAAGAGGTGTTTCGTCCAGTGGTACTAACAATTAACTGCCTATAAGATAATCTTATTTAAAGCATCGGTTCCCAAGGTTGGGGCGGTTTAACGAGCAAAGGGTCTAGAAATCTACAACAGAAATTAAACTAAAGATAAATATTGATGATGAGGGATATTTATGTGTTTAAAGATATTAAAACAAATAACCAATTATAGTGGTTTTAATTGTCTTTTTATCCTGTGGTTGACAGTTTCTTTTTTTATTTATTTATTGTATATTTGTATTCCAACCAAAGGTACGGGTTCTGACACCATGCTGGTATTATTTTGTGGGTCTGAAGCTGAACGGTTTGGGAACCTCTGATTTAGAGGGAAAGAACTGATGGAACTATAAACAGCACAAAAGACTTAAAATCAATGATTTCTCAGGAAAGTTAAACAAGTATGGTTTCTTTTATCACTCTAGACTTGAATTACATGTTCAAAACTAAGTTTAAAAAAAGGAATGGATAGTTTGATCAAATAACTAACTACATAAAAATAAAACAATGTTATCGGAACAAAGAAATCTCTCTTCCTCAGAGTATCTATTGGGATTTTATTGCGTAAGACACGCTTCAATATATTATCGGTTCCTTCTTATCCTAAAAAAACCATTTTCACCTTTCAGTGAAGCAGCTTTTTGATGATTAAAATTAAAGTAAAAGGGCAAAACATTGTCTTAAAAATGGCCACTCTTCTGGTGGACATGTACGGCTTCTTTTAATTCATCAACCAACGTCACAACAGAAAACAGATGCCAACGCACACAAGAACACTCTCCAACCTTATGGGAGGTTAATTGTCTCTTTAAAGTTTTCTCTTAGATTAAAACAAATTCACTCCCTTTACGGTGGTTTTATTTAAAGAAAGGATCAAAGCAGCTCTCTCCTCATTGTGGTAACATATTTACCTGCCTGCCGCTGTCCCAGTCAAACCAGTAAACCCCTTTAACACACCACACATCAAGAGAAAAAGCTTTCATCTCCACTCAAACAGCGTCGGCACAAAAACTAATCCTGTCTTTCTGCTTCACAGAGGGCACCACATGTCCTTTGACTAGAGATGAGTAAACACAACACTTACTATGTGAAGAAGCTTTAGGACATCCACAAACCTGCAAAGAAAAAGCATGATAAATGATTTTAAATCACTTTTAAACACAAGTTTTTAGTCTGAGACACTCACACTTTCTCTGAGCTCATGATTTCCTGGGCAATGTGCACCACCTTCTTCCTCTTCATCTCATCCTCCTGCTGATGATAACAAACACAAACAGTAAGACGATCCTCCAGAAAAGGTGAAACCCAAACAGCTTTAACTCACAGACTCACTGCAGGTCACCATGATCATCTCCTGGTGTTTAAAAATCACAGAACGACGTCTCGTTTGGTCTCTTTCTGCTGCTGCCTGCTCACTTAATTTGGCCCCTGCCTGACTGCTCCTATCTACAGTAAGGCTGTATTTGTGGAGCATTGAGGGGCTTCAGACACAAGTGTTGACAGCATCATGGAGCAGGTCATGCAGGACGAATAAAGGAAGGGGGGGAAAAAATGGTTCAAAGAGAGAGGGAGCTATTCCTGAACCTGCAGCCCCTATGTTTGCTCTCCCCCCCTGCTTTCAACACACAATCATCCACTTCTAAACGCCTGTCACAGGCAGCAAACATGCTGGGCAGCATGCGAGTGTTGATACTGTCAGTCAGCTTCAAAAGCTTCCTGAGGTCGGCTCTCTTTTCACTCCAGATGTTTTCACCCTGAAAGTAGGACTGGCCAATTTGTACTTAAAATCTTATCACGACATCGGCTGACATTATTGTAATAATTGTAAAAAAAATGTCGGTATCTCTGTGGCTGTGACTGCTTACCACACACTGCAAAAACAATCTAGAAATGAGTAAAAAAGTCTTAAATTAAGTACATTTGAGCAGGAAAATAAGATGATTTGCCAATGGAATTTGTATTTTTACTCTTAAAATAAGATAATTAGATAATACACACTTGAAATAAGACAATGTAATCGTTTTTTCTTATTTTAAATGTAAATTGTCTTGTTCCATTGGCAAAGTGTTACACTTACCTCATTAATTCAAGAAAGAATGCACTTATTTTACTCATTTGAGATTAGAATTTTTTGCAGTGCAGCAAGCATAGCCCCACAGCTTCTTCAGGACAGCAGTCACTTAAAGACTTATATGATTTATATGACCAAATATCTTGTGGTAACGGCATTTAATTATTTGCAATGCCCCAAACATACAAACAAAACAACAAAACAAACAAAAAAAGTACTAAAAATTAAAAATTCACCCAGCTTCTGAAGTTTTTTTCTTATTTATTAGTTTGACGAAAAATCTAAATTCTCATGTCTCGAACTTTTCACAAAGGTGCCCATCCCTACTTTAAAGGTACATTTCTTTAAAAGGGTGTTCATAACTTTTATTCTTTTTTATCATGTTAGAATCAACAGCTGAGTTTCCATTACAAATGTGCGCAAAACTATGTGTCACAGTCTTGGTTTTGTTATGTTTATTTAGAGTATTTAGTTTTACTTTGCTCCTTGTTTTAGTGTTTAATTATTATTTTGTTGTTTTCTTGTTAGTTCCTGTCCAGATTTTCCATTTGTTGTCCTCTGCTGCCCTCTTGTGTCCTCTATCCCTAGCTCTGTTTTCTGCTCTGTTCTCAACTGTTTCCAATCCTCTCGTTAGCCCTCTCTTTGTCTCTGTCCCCTTTAAAAGCCCTCCCTCTTCAGTTCCTGTTGGCTGGATCCTCGTCTAACGTCTGTCTGCTTACCTCGTCTCTCCCTGGCTCCTAGAGTTTGGTTTCCCCAGATGTCTCCTTGGTTCTGGTTTGTTTGTTATTTTTGTTGGATTTTTTTATTCCTGCCTCTGTACCTGTGGACCTCATTAAACCCACCTAAATTCACCTCTGCCTACTTGCCTCTGCTTTCGGGTCCTCAATCCAACACCAAATCGTGACACTATGTTGATTTTCTACTAATATCAAATAGCAAAGTTTGACAATTCCTTTATTTCTATTAGGTAAGTAAATAAGTAATGCTTATTTATATAGCACCTTTCACAGACATAGAGGTAACAAAGTGCTTCACAAAATTACAATACAAACAAATATGCATTTATAGTCACAAAGACATGGTCATAAAACAAACCTTAATCTACTAGAATTAAAAGGCTTTCTTAAACAAGTAGATTTTCAGTTCACTCTTATGTTGTCTTATGTCTTATGTGCATATGTTGGTTAATGCAATAACTCTTGAAAACAACACGGGAGCCGCAGATGCAAACACACAGCTCTACTGGGCGCCATCATCCTCCAACTACTTCTGCTCTTCTTCTTTGTCTTTTTAAAAGGCACTGTTTCCATGGCAATTTTCCTGTTTTTTTTTCAAAGTGACCAAAAACCACCTCAATAAAGCGTCAAAAAAATTTATAGAACACTGAGATTTTTTTAAAGCTGCAGTGTGTCCATTTAGCAAAGTTATTTTTGTAATTTCAACTTGATGTTTAATGGAAACACAGCTACTGTAAAGATTTATTAGGATTTGATATGCAACAGAAAGTAGTCAAAAGTGTCAAGAGAAAGAAAATGATGGTTTACTCATGATTCGCTACAAATAATATACAAGACTGGAATAAGATCTGTCTAACACTTAAAAAACATCTATTACTTCTAGGGATGGACGATATAATCGGCCCCCTATCGACATCGGCCTGTATCGGCCTTAAAACTGAATATCGGCCATCGGCCACCCCACCGATATTTAACCCGATATTTGATCAGCTTCTGAGTTTCTAAAGTCAAAAAAAAAGAAATAATACTACTTCTTCTTCTTCCTCCAAAACTTCTTTTTTACAGACTTAAAAACTCCTAAAGACGAGGGAAAAAATATTGATACATTAAAATATCCCAATATCTTCATATGCTGATATATTGCCATTTAAAAACACCATATCAATCTCTTTTACTAATGAAATATTGCTATATGTCATTGTTATGCTAAAAATTCCCCGGAAAATTCAAGAAACTTTGCCATATTTTTATATGTTGATATATTGACGCGGTATCGATCTATTTTACTAACAAAATCTCACAAGAATTTGCAAAATCTCACGAGAGTTTGTAACAGAACGATGAAATTTCACGAGATTTTGAAAGTAAAATAGATCGATACCGCGTTTTTAAAAATCAATTTGATATCAGCATATGAAAATATATTTGAGTATATTATTTTTCAAAGTGTCAGAAATGGAAAACAAAACTGCTATTTTCAATGACTACTTATTTTTGTCCAGCTTTAACATCAGTACCGATATCGGTTATCGGCTACATGAGTTTTAAAATATCGGCATATCAGATATTGGCCAAAATCCCAATATCGTGCATCCCTAATTACTTCTCAACAGCTAACCTGAGGAGAAAAATCAAAACAAAAAATTCCCCACAATGCTGTGTTCAGAGTAATAGGTAAAAATAAGTGTATTTTACGTGTTTTCTGGAGCCTTTACACGACACATTGCAAACTTCCTTTGACCTTTTTGGCTTTATGTTCTAACCTTCTCTAAAGATGGTCTGGCCGTCCTATCAACACATTTCAACTGAGCCGTGGATCTTTATAAGCTGTTAGGTTTAGTCAAATAAAGTGCATCACAATTTGTGCATTTTCAAAAAGTTTAACTTGCAACTAATTCCAGCAGTTAATCATTATGTTTCCCCCTATTTTATATTGCCTTTAAATACAATAATGTAATTTATATTTATATGTGTGATTTTTAATATGTTAGTTCCAACAATTCAAGGTTGCATAACTGGCTTCAGCAGTTGTGGAAGTTGTGAATCACACCATATTAGCAAATGTTTGGGGTTTAATTTCATACTTAATTACTTTCTGACTGCTGGGTGAGTCATTGAAGCGCTCTGTAATTGCCTGAATTCCAGACAGGATGAAATCAGAGTACCTGTCTGTCTGCCTCGTCCAGGTGCTCCTTGCTGGAGGTAGAGCTGTTGTCCTCTTCGTCTGAACTGTGCATCTCCTCCTCCTCAGAGTGGACATCGTCCTTTAACCAGTCGCTGTTTGGGGAAAACACAAAGAGGATGTGAGGGTCAGGGAAGGAATAAGCTCCTCTTTCATCATGCATGAGTCTGCAGAAAAGGATACAGGTAGGGCGGCAGAAGAGTGAATGAGTGTTTAGAAAAATACTCCCTGGTAATTAAAGTTTAAACAAATCTTGTGGAATGAACTCAGTCCAAACCTTAGCTACCTAACTGTGACATAAAAAATGAATCACTTTAAAGTCCAACTTTAAACTCTTAAGGAACGTTTCACTGAAGGGTTCAAAGAACCTTTAAACAAACCACTGAACTCCAAAAATAAATGACCACAACTATGAAAATAATCAAAGCACACCTCGACGGTATGGAGGATGTAAGAGTGAAGAGAAGGTGGAAACTTTTTTTCATATAATTATATAAAGAAACATTTCAGCCTGTTTTCAGTGAAATGTCAGAACGTAGGAGTTTCCTGCTTGTTGAGGATTTTACCTCAAAGCATCTCAGTGATATCACGGTCTGGTTAAACTCAGCCAAGGATAAGTCACTGAATTCCAAACATATTCACAAGTTCAGCTTGGATGCAGTTTTGCTTGGTTTGTATAATGCAAGCATGAGGAAATAACATCATATATATCATTATTATATCGGGGAAGTGTTATCCCTAAAACCACACCTGACATATATCCAAATATAAGACAAGACAAGATTTTATAAACAACATCGCTATTAAATATTTTCCAGATATTAAGGAATGCAGGGAAAAAGTTATCTTTTATTTTTATAATTGCCAGGATGCTATCTTTTTTGTTTTAAATATGTGATGCCTGTTAGAGCTTAGAAATAAAATGGTCAGATCCGTTTTCCATCTTGTGAGTTTTTATGGAAAGCAGACTTGTGCTTGAATGGAAAGATGATCCCATCGTAGCAGAATTGGTGATATCGCCGCAAACATTGCAACGTTACCCTAACCGGGGATGCAACCAACGACTACGTTGCTAATCGATTCTTTTTTAGATTAATAATCAGATGGCAAAAGTTTCCTAAAAGAGGATTTTACGAGCTAAAAATCAGCATAAAAGAAAACTTCTAAGACAAACCAGGAACCTGGTTTAGGTTTAAATAAAGCATGGAGGCGGCTGCATCTTTCTTCCAAGCTAAACTTTAAATCAAAATCCTGTTTATAGAAAAAAAACATTCATCCATTTTCATTTATGCTTATCCCTGCTGGGGTCACGAGGGGTGCTGGTGCCTATCTCAAGCTGTCTATAGGTGAGAGGCGGTGCACAACCTGGACAGGTCACCAGTCCATCACAGGGCAACACAGAGACAAACAGGACAAACAACCATTCACGCAACAATTAAGGCCAATTTATACTTCTGATGGATAGCCTCTGCAACCGTCAAATCTGACTCTGTGACCTGCACCTCAAAAAAATCCTGACTACACATCGGATGTTCGCAAACCTGTGCAGGCCTCAAGCTGAAGTGAGCAGACAAAAAGCAGCTGTGATTGGTCCTTGGTATGCCTGTCCAGCTGTCTGTGTGGTCGTCCTTCTCTATTCGGTGCCATTTTTAAAAACCGAGGAACAACTACAATGGACGACTACGACGAAAGGTTAATCAGTCTTTTTGCCAACTCCATTAACAGAACCTGTTCTTCTTCAATGTCTAGCAATGCTTCATCCATCTGAGTGACCGTGACCATTGTTTTTTTGGAAGATAAACACTCACGACGGCGCCGCCCAAGATCTCACTAGTTCTTGGATAGGCTCCCTCTTGCGCTTTGGCAGGAAACTGCCAAAAAAATTCCAGACCGACGTTGCAGAAGCATAGCAGCAAAACTGGCTTGCGACCAGACCCAAGCGACATTTGATGTGTGCTGTTGCAGAAGTAGCCATGTTTTCATGTTTTTAGTTTGTGGGAGGAAGTGAGTACCTGGAGAGAACCCACGCATGCACAGGGAGAACTTGCAAACTCTATGCCAGGAATCAAACCCAGCATACCCGGTTCGATTCGCGTGTGTTGCGTTCCGTTCATGCGCTGCTTCTTTTTCTCACAGGCGAAGCGTTTACACTCCAGAGCAGAAGGTGGCGGTACTGCGACCAAAGCCAACCACCAGTAGTAAACAAGAAGAAGAAGCGAAGCAGCTTAGCCGGGTGTAGCAGAAAAAAATCAGTTGTTGTGGAGAATTGTGTGCGTATGGCGAGTGGAAAAGAACAGGAGTTGGAAGACGCGCCAGCAGCACTTTATAGGTCTGCTGTATGGGACCACTTTGCATTTAGAGTGACCTATGATGACGGCGAAAAGAAAGTTGTGTATAAAAGTGCAACAGTGTGCAAGCATTTTGCAACACGACCAACATGTCAGGCTAACAATCAACATATACCGAACTGAACCGAAAACCGTGACCATGAAACCGTGAACCGAACCGTGGATTTTGTGAACTGTTCCACCCCTAATATATATATATATATATATATTTATTTATTTGATTTTTCCTTTTTTTTAATCTAAGTTGTATTTTTAAATGACTCAAACATGGAACGTTTGTTTTACATAGACATTACATTTATCAATCTTGTGCCAAGCTGGTATTGGCATGGGTGTTGCGATATGATTCGTGCCACGATACTTGGGTCACGATACGTTATTATCTATATATTGTCATATCACCATATATTGCGATATTTTTCCTGCTATCAAAACTAAATGTATAGGTAAAAAAGCAACCTCTGTATATGTTCATCAGATGATATTGATCGCTCAGTTATTTTGGTGTCCGTGTTCTTTGGGGTTTGAGTCAGCCCACGTCTTCCACTGTGCGTCAACCACAGATATGTCGCTGCGCCGCACAGCAAAAGGGCTCCATAGCACCATCTGCCTGAGTGGCGGTACAAAGGTAGCCCATTTTCCCTCAGTTTTAGGTAAAAATGATTTGCTTAAAAAATGGATACTAGGAACTAAAAGACCGATATTATATCATGCAGCCAAAAATCACGAATTTTTTTCCACACCCCTAGAGCCAAGCCTTTACCAGAACAGTTATGTTTGCTGAGACATTTCAACCTGCACTCCTAAAACCTGCCTCTTATCGTGCTTCTGGCAGCTCATCGACACTCACACTCGGGTCTTCCCACAGTAGGCGGTCTCTGCCAGATTAGGACAAGCAGCAACATGTGTTTGTGCCTTTAATGTTTAGATCTGGCTTTCCTGTTTTGTTTGTTTCCTGCTGAATAAAGCCATGCTATCCTGAGAGATTGCAACCTGAGAAATTAAAAGTTGTTTAGTTCTGTTCCCAGAATGAAAATGCAAAGCTTCAGGATGGTTATTGCAGAAAAAAAAACACAAATCCTTTTCTTTTCCTTTCTTTCTTACCTAAAAGCCCAAATTTCTCCCTTTTTGTCCCAGATTCTTTATTCCACGTCTTCCTTGTCTCCATTCGGTTTCTCCAGCATTGTGGATCAGGCACAGAGCGACACTTGTTTACAGCCCAAGGCTACTTACATAAACTTAACAGGCTCGGATGCCTGGGAAACACCACGGATTCGCTGGCTGCTTCTGTCTTCGCTTTAACAAACACCCCAGTTCTGCATACCAGACTGAATTAAGAAGCAGTGCACATCTTAGATGCTTTAAAGGCTGATATAAAATCTGTAGAAAACAGAACCTAGAATGGATCCTGACAGCATCCGATATCCAGAGGAAATAGAAGACTTCTGAGATGATAAACACGGCTGACTTCTCGATCATAAATACTGAACTGAATAAACTGTTTTATTTTAGTCTGGAAGTTAAAAAAACAACAAAGGAAAGTATAAAAACTAACAGATTTTTTACGAAATCTGACAGCAAACATCTCAATAAACACATTATTATGAAATTTTATCACATTATCTCTTTAAATGTGATTTTAAGTCAGTTTAATCGAAGTAAATGTTTAATATTTGCTTTATCAGGATTTTTTTCAGTATTAATCCTATCTTAAAATAGCATAACATACATTTTAAATATATTATTACATCCAGATTTCACTGTAATAATGAAGGTTTAATTATCTTGAGCTCCAAAGCTCTAAAAATGTTTTTGTTGTGATGAAAGTGATATTAAACTCTTGCTTTCTTTCATGATAACTGATTATTTTTTTTATAGTTGATGAGCCTCTAAGCTTCTTTAGTCAAGAGAACGAAATTATTTTCTCAAATTATTAAGAACATTTTTTTCTCTCTAGGGACAAAAATCTTTTGCTAGATTATATAAACATCAGTCTCGATACGCTGCAATTTTGTGTTCTTCTGCTTTTTTTTCTCCTTTTAGTTTATTTATCCTAGTATCTTGAAATATTTAGAGCTATAAAATAAGAAAACTTTTTTGGAGGAGTGCTGTAATTTAAAAAAAAATATCTGTACATGGAAAAGAGTCTGCTAATGTTTTCCCTTTTAACACTTCTATCCAGAGCTGAACAAGGCTGTCAATTTTTATGATGTCACACATGGAGACAAAAATGACAGATCAAATGTTTTGAGACAAAAATCCATTTTTTTTTTGTTGGCAAAGCTTCATTAAAAGACTGTAAGAGATTAATGATTCATTTTGCAGCATATCCAGACTTTCCTTTCCCTGACAGACCATTTCTGCAGAATGTTAACCACAGAAATCAACTTCAGTGAGGAAATAAAAACATACGACTGGATTTCATAAACAAGCAACCAGAGAAGCTTCATTTGTAGAAAAGTTATGTGAGAAAAATGTGAAATGTGTCAAAAAATAATAGTTTTGCCTCCAGATGTTTAGCCTGTTATGAATTAGAATGAATCAAACTAATTCGGCATTTATTTGTGAATTTATACAAATATATGTTACAGATTTTAGTTCCTTACCAATCATTTCCTGCTATAATCATCCCATGTTTGCTACTTTTTTTGCCCTACCTGTTTTATTCCTGTAGTTAAAATCTCCATGAAAAAAAAAATCAGTTAAAAACGCTTTTATTTTTTATTTACCCTTTTCTATTGGCTCTTTGTTCAGCATGAGAACCAACCAGTGAACAGAGGCAGTGGCTGGGAGAGAAAGCAGGATAAGGTTAAAAAGAGGTTAAACGTGGTGCGAGGGCAGACAGAACGAGGAGGAGGAGAAGGATGGTGGTTGCTGGAGGTATATTTTCCCTGATTTAGAGCTGTGTGGTGATTTTTGCAATTCTCAAACATTTCCTGCTCTGCTCACTGGAAATAACCCACAGGAAAGCAGGCCCACTCGGCGCTCCGTTCAAAGTCAAAGCCACTGACTCAGAGCATGTCTGCCTTCTAGTAACGAGCTGCTTTGGTCACCTGTTATACCTGTCACAGTTCTCACACCGAAGGGAAACAGGAGGAGTTTAACATCCAAATATAGAGATTTCTTTTTTATACTTTCTTCTGCTTAAAGGCAGAAGACATGAAAATCAAAAGAATTAAAATAACAAGCAAAGTGAAAGTTTTCCTGCTTTAAACTTTTGCTTTCATCTAACACCAACTGAATAAGAAAGATTTTCGGCCCACCTCTCGTATTCGTGCTCGCTGTGAAAGGGGTCCTGCACCTCGTAGATGTTAGCGTCTCCTTCGTCCTGCCAGCCCAGCCTGCCGCTGTGGAACGGCAGGTTCATATACTCTGGGATCTCGTCATACAGCTGCACGTTCTCATACTCCACATCTTCGCTGTGAATATCCGTGTCCTGGATGCAGCTGCTGGGCCGCTCCAGGCTTTTGTCCCCGCTACTGGAGTCCGAGCTGACGCAGTCCAGGGACTGGCCCCCTTTGGCCAGCAGCTTTGGCAGCATCTTCACAGACAGCCGCAGCTCCAGCAGCTTGCGGAAGGAGAGGCTCCTCTTTTGGGAAGAGCTGGCCCGGGTTGCCAGGTCGGCTGCGGAGAAGGACTGCGCCCTCTGCTTGCCCCCTAGCGCCGGCGCTCGGCTTTTAGGCGGCACGCTGCTCCTGGTGGGGATCTGACGGCTGAAAAAAGTGACGCAGGGCCGGGAGAAGCGCCAGGCAGTTTTCTCCTGAGGAGGTGGGGGCAGCTCTCTCATGGGGGTGCTGGCGTGAGGAGGAGCAGGAGGACAGAAGGAGGGCGGCGGCGGTGCGGGCAGGCTGTGTCTCTGAGGTTTCCTCGGCGGCGCCCTCGGGGACTGCTGATCATCGGAAGAAACGGCTTTCCGGCTGTAGACCAGCGGAGGGTGACAGCCCAGTTTGATCTGCTTGGGGAGGCTGTGGCAGATGGGGTACCGCTCAAAGTCGCCGTACCCGTCCTCCTCATCCTCCTCCACCTGCTGAGCCTCTTTACCGGGACCCTCTGAGTCAGGTTGGGAGAGCAGGTCTAAGGAGTGGGAGGTGTTTTTGTTGAGCGAACAGCGGACAGTTCTGAGGAGGCGTGGAGAGAGGGAGGTCTGTCTGGGAGGCGGAACGGGGACGTCTGTCTCTGAATCCACCAAACACGAGTCTCTCTGAGTTTCAGAGTCGTCCTGGTTCTCTGTTCTGACAGACAGAGGAGCCTCTCTCAGTTTGCCCTCAGGCTCATTTGTCTGTTCCTCCACTAGCACCACCTGATCCTGAGTGCCACCCTCCACGCCATCCTGCCTCACCAGGGCCGGCTTTTTAAACCTCCGTGGGTGGGGGACTGGGAGAGGCTTACTGGGAGCAGCAGGGACTGGTAGATCAGGTTGGGAACCGATTAGAAATGTTCGGCTGATGGAATCGGCCCCGTCTCCCTCAGGCTCCGATGGAGCGAAAATTGTCGGGATGTTGCCTGCAACATCACAGGCTGACGTACGCGCCGCAGTCAGCTCGTCTGGATATTTAAGTTCTGAAACCCCACTTTCCTCACGTTTTCCCTCCTCAGTCCTCTCAGCCTCTTTGTTAACTAATCCTCTATCAAGGTATCTCTGTCTTTGAGGTTTATCTCTTGGCTTTTTGCTAATCCTTTCCTCCTTAGAAACAGGTGGGGCCCTCGTCTGGAGCTCCCCTTCCTCTTGTGTGCTATTGCCGGGGGTAACCCCATTCTGCAGAGGCTCTTTATGGAAATCTGCTGGAGACTCAGTCGAGTCTCCATTTTCCTGCGGATGGCACTTGGAGAACTCCTCGCCAGAGCATGAGCAGGCGGGAATGATGTAATCCGACGCACGCCTGCCTGTCTGCGATAAGATCCCATTCTTGGAGTTGAGATGAAAGAGGTTCTCATCCAAAGTCTCCTCCTGGGAGAGACTGAAAGGTTCGGCTGGTTTTGGCGGCGGGGGCGAAACAGGCGGTGGAGAAGTGGCCGTGGATCGAGGAAGGCACGGTTTAGGAGCAACAGCTGGCTTTGGCCTCTTAAGGGTAGAAGGGGAGGGCTGGGAGAGAAGAGGAGACTGGGAGAGAGGACATGGCTTTGGGGCGATGGGTGGCTTGGTTGGAGCAGGGAGTTTTGGTTTGGGAGCTAATGGAGGCTTCTTTACACCTGCATATAAAATAAAAAGAGAGAGAAAATGATGGAAAATCAACAAGTTTCTTACTGGATCTCCCTCGGAAAGGCATGCCCCATTCCCACTTCCTGAAATGTAAGCACCGACAGCTGCAAGCAGAAGTTTAGATGGAGGTCAAAGGGCCAATTGCAGGGTCAGAGGTTCAAACTTAAAAAGAGATTAGGATGCCATTCTTTAAATAAAATATAGAAAACCAACCTTTTGATCTTTCTACTAATAACATTAAAGTTTCTATTATTATATCTCACTTTTTTACTGCAAATAGAGTTAATTTAAGTATGCCTTCATTTCTGTTTTCTGTCGTACAACATTATTTACACCCCTAGAATTTTTTTTTTTTATCAAGCTACAACCATGAACTAAAATTATAGTTTTCATCATGGCTAATTTTGGACCCTTGCTTAGCACTGATCAAATGCATCATCCCCCTTGTGACGTACTACGGTGGTGGGAGTGTCATGATGTGCGCGTGTTTTTATACAGCAGGAGCTGAGATTCCAAAAAAGTTTAAAAAACAATCTGCTGGACTTTGTTTCCAAGTTTGAAGGCGTTTCGCTTCCCATCAAGGAAGCTTTTTCAATTCAAAACTTTGAATTTTTGATGGATTTTGAATTGAAAAAGCTTCCTTGGTGGGAAGCGAAACGTCTTCAAACTTGGAAACAAAGTACAGCAGATTGTTTTTTTTTACTTTTTTGGAATGACTATGACCTGAATCTCTGAGAATCTTCACCAGCATATAAGGAGTTAATTACAGATCAATGTGTGCTAGAATGGTCCAGTCAAATTTCAGATCCCATTTGAGAATAATGTCGTTTTTTAAACAGACATTCTTCATTGAAACTGACTGAGGTAAAAATAAAATATGCTCTAATTTAAGTCCATTTATCGAATAATATTGCATAACAACAAGCAGTTTGAATGTTTTCATAAGGCTCTTTAAAACTAATATAATAATTTTTAAATTTTGGTTCATTTTTCGTTTGTGCACGCCTAATAAATAAACAACTTCTCTGCCACATGTGGATGTCAAGGCTTAGTAGAACTGAACTGTCGTTATGTAATTTTCCACAGACTGTAAATTAAATTCGGAAGGAGGGGAAATAACCCAGTTTAAATAAAGTACCAAACATCACCCTGGTCAGACAAATAAAAGAGCTGTGAAATCAGATGTGGTGCTATATTTTCCGCTTTCTTCCTCACGAGCCGACACCATGAGAAGTGGAGTCATCAAGCGGATGTTTCCTGAAAGGCCAACAACTGAGAAAAAAGGCGCTGCAAAACAAGCAAGCTGCATGCATTACCAAACTTGATTCAAATTTATCTTTAAACATAAGTTATAAACATAAAATCATCCCTATTAACTTATTTATTTCGATATTATTTTGTTTTAGGTTTCTTTTTATAATTCGGCCTTAATATCCAGTTAAAAATTTTATTTTTCATAAGGTAATTATAAACCTTTAGAACTTAGTTCAAGAATAGCGATTTTGAGCATTACCAAACTCCATTCAAAATGAACTATAAACATAAGTTATAAACATAAAATCATCCCGATTAACTTATTTATTTAGATATTATTTTGTTTTAATCTTCTTTGTATAATTCGGCCTTAATATCCAGTTAAAATGTTTAGTTTTCATAAGGTAGTTATAAACTTTAACAGCTTAATTCAAGAATAGCGATTTTGAGCATAACCAAACTCCATTCAAAAGTATCTATAAACATAAGTTATAAACATAAAATCATCTCTTTTAACTTATTTATTTAGATATTCTTTTGTTTTAATATTCTTTTTGGAATTCGGCCTTAATATCCAGTTAAAAATTTTAGTTTTCATGAGGTAATTATAAACTTTTATAACTTAGTTGAAGAATAGCGATTTTGAGCATTACCAAAACTAATTCAAAATTATCCATAAACATAAGTTATAAACTTAAAATCATCACGATTAACTTGTTTATTTCGATATTCTTTTTTTTAAGTTCCTTTTTATAATTCGGCCTTAATATAAATTATTAATCATATTAATCATAAGGTAGTTATAAAATTGTACAACTTAAAGTGTGTCTTTGCATGCTAACAACAAATCCGGTTCATAAAAATATGTGCATCGAGTAGGAAAAGCTTTGAAATAGCAGGAAACGCTTGTTTTTTGTTATTTTTAACGAATCTGGCTGCATGTGCAAGAAAGCTTGACTGATTGCGATTCCATATTTTGTGCAACTCAGCTAAACTGCGCAGCGAAATTTAAAATCAAGCCGATACTATCAGTTTATACCGCTGTAACAGATGATTGGTCAGACTTGTTGCATCAACAGCAGGACAGATGTTAAAGACAAAGGATTTAGCCTTTCCAGCTGCCACAAACACAAAGGGTTACAACTTTCTTCTAAAAAGCACCGACATGTAGCTCAAAACCGATGCTTTTCTATGTTTTTGAAAGCTGATATTATGAAAAACTGTAATTAACTGTGGGTAGGATTAAAAAAGGAGTCAGTGGATGCAATCGACCGTTAGGGATGTTAAAAATGTCTCTCTTTTTGCTTTATTCACATCAAGGCTCCGTACAAAAACGACAATTGGAAAAAACAAACATTGTTGTTTAGCTTTATCTGGAAAAAATATATATCTCTAAGCTAAGAAAAGTTAGCTTCGACACGAACCTGTGCTCATGACTCCCGACTTCTTCTCGCTCCTTTCTCCATGAGTAGAAAAAAATACTTTCAATGGAACTCCGAGAAAATCTGGCTATCTTCCCCCCACTCCATTGTCAGAGGGAAAAGCGAGGCAGGCAGAAAAGCAAGGGCTCCATTTCTGCTGTTCCTTATCTTGCCAGCGCATACACCGATAAAGTTGGTGAGCCAGTTACTTTTTCCATTTTTTTTATCCAAGTTTTCGGCCACGGTGCTTTTCCGAACAGTAAGATGCAGAATTGAAGCGCAACACGTGGGTGCTTCCGGTTAAAAACCTTCAAAATAAAACTACTATTTAAAAACACGGTTTGGATATTTGGGAGAATTACACGAAAATTAGATTAAGTATATAAATTATATTGCTTTTATTTGATATTTATTTTTAGCAAGATGTGGTGAAGCGACATTTGCGTTTGTTTCATATCATTCATGTGTTTTGATTAAGGGTTGATTTATTTAGAAAACCGTTTCCGGTTAATTCAAGCTAATTTTTGAAATTGATCATCGTTTCCTTCCTTTGCTTTCCCAAAAATGTACCGCTTCGTTTTACTACCACTTGGGGCACTCTAAACGATTTTCGATGATAAAGCTCACGTCAACGTGGGCGCCATATTGGCAGGGGAAACAGCGGCAAGCCACTTTGAGAGACCTGATCATGCAAAATACCCCAAAATAAAACAATAGGAGTATCAGCTTTTGTAGAAAAAGCATTTATTCACATACAACTGTACAGTTATGGTTCAAATGTTTAAATTCTTATAAATATATAATTTTCCTTCGTGTTTTTTTTTTTGCAATGTACATTTGTGCCATTTTCTGCTGTGTGCATTGAATGTTTTTTTATTTCGACATACTAATCCAAATGTCAGAAAACTGAGCCTTTCTTAAATATACATTTTTTTTTCTTCCACAACATACACATATTTCTTTATTGTTTAGCAGATTTGCCCCTACATTGCATGACACAATCAAAGCAAATTGTGTATCCTTGCATAAACTTGTCATTCTATGGAATATTTTCCAAATCCTTCTACAAAACTGATGCATATGAGTTACCTTGCCAGACCAAACCCCATTTTAGTATATGCTGGCAAATGTCTCCAAAAAAAGCTCACTGTTGGCCTCTAAAAAACATTCATTAGTGTCCTTTCGTAAATAATGTGGTGGCATTCAGGACCTATTGCTGCATGGATTAATGGTTGGGCCTTCCCATGCTGTTTCTATTGGCATTAAATATTCCTTCTGAGGTCTTGGCAGTATTATTTAGATTTTCTCTATGAAGTCACTTAGGAAAGCAGTGTGACACCGTACACTAAAACACGCTTATGGATTGAATTGATGCAATTTGGTGGTTTTCCTTAGAAAAAGTTAAAACTTTGAGCCAATCTGAACGTATAATCTGGATTGAATGGTTAGATTAAATCAGATTACTCTGGACATGTCATCATTACATGTCATCGTGAATTGGTGCTATATACCTACAGCAAATTGAATCAAATTGATTTTTTTCACCAAGGTTATTTAAATGTTGTGAAGTGTTCAAAATTATAGCAAATGTTACGAATCATATATTATTTGGTATCAGTTTATAACTATAACTTATTGAAGCCCATTTATGCCACATAAAACTACAAAAATTACAAATAGAAAGTCATAATTACGAGATCCAAAGACATAATTTCGACTTTCAAAGTCATAATTATAAGAATTCTGACTTTCAAACTTTGTAACTCATAATTATGACTTTAAAAAGTAAAAATTATGACTTTGTGTCTCACAATTATTAATTTCAAACTCAAAATTATGACTTTATAACTCATAATTATACCTTCGAAACTTGAAATTATGACTTGGAATTAATAATTACGACTTTAAAAAGTCAAAATTCTGACTTTGTATCTCATAAGTATGAATTTGTAATTCATCATTATGAATTTGAAACTCGAATTTATGACTTCGAATTCATAATTATGACTTTGAAGGTCGAAATTATGAATTTGAAACTCAAAATTATGACTTCACATTTAAAAGTATGGCCTTAAAGAGCCATAAATATGAAGTTGTATCTCATAATTATAACTTTTTAACTCATAATTATTCATTTTTAACTCATAATTATGAATTTGTAACTCATAATTATACATTTGAAACATGAAATTATGACTTGGAGTTAATAATTATGACTTTAAAAAGTCAAAATTCTGACTTTGTATCTCATAAGTATGATTTTGTAATTCGTCATTATGAATTTGAACCTCAAAATTATGACTTTGCATTTATAATTACGCCCTTAAAGAGCCATAATTATGAATTTGTATCTCGTAATTATGAATTTGAAACTCATAATTATGACTTTCTATTTGGCATCTTTTTTTATTTTCATGTGGCGGAAACGGGCTTTCATACAACGTTCCCTTTGTTAATATTTTATTTACAGTTAATGTAATTTTATTTCATTTGATAAAAAAAAACATCGCGGGAAAATACAAAATCAAAATCGAACGAATCGTTCCCTGCGAGCGAGTGGCAAACGTACTCTGGCCTTATGGGATTTGTAGTTCTAACGGAACGTTAGCATCCGGCTAACTCATAACTTCCCGACCGCTGTCTGTGAGTCTCGCCTCCAACTTGAGAATGCTGAACGGGCTGAGCATCGATGGCGGAGAGCAATGACTGAGGAGTTTGATGACGATGTGGTATTTGAGGTTTGTATAAACGCCTATTTTTATTTTTTATTTTTATCGTACTGATGCTTTTGTCGATCAGATGTAAATAAGGACTCATTAACGGGCTAACAGGTAAGCTAGCGTCCCTTTAGCAGCCTCCGTGCCTGTTGCGGTGTAATCCAAAACAATTTGGCTGTTTCTGAGCATGTTCCTCCCGAGCCAAGGAGCTTTGCTGGTCATGAGGGAGGCTGAGCTGCTTTTTCAGCAGCCTTACTAACCGGCTGGGGTGGAGAAGATTACATTCATTGCTGCTGCTTCGCTTCTGAAAAATGACACAGCTGCACATCTTAGTGTTTGATTGATGGCAACATGAGCTGCGACTTCGTGTGACAATGAATGTGAGTACTCATTGCTGCAGTGCAGACAGGCTATAAAGGGATATGGGAAATGCTCCTCTGCAGCAATTTAACTCAGAGAACCTGCTAAGTATGGAGGACCAATCCTGACATTATTAAAATGACATAAAGAAATATAATAAATGACTCATAAATATAAATGTCGGGGAAATAATGGCTTGAAATATAAATTAATGAGCCATTAAATGTAACAAAGTGATAAAAACTAGAAAAACATTTAAAGATTATACATTTTTTTTATATAATTATATATCTTTTAACTGTTCTGTGGTATTTCTACACTTTTATTCTATTTTTTTCTATTTAAGCATTGGAAGTAAATTTATTTCTTTTTTGTTTTCCCAAATATATTTCCCAAAATATATTTAAACTATATTTTTCATGACTTTGACAAATATCATCAAGTTAAACTGACCCCAATTGGACACTTAACAGGCAGATTGTGATTGATTGATTATCTACAGACATACCTTTTTTTTTTTAAATTAGGATGAAATCTTTCATATGTGATATGAATTATTTTTATATAATTATATATCTTTTAACTGTTCTGTATTATTTTATTCTAATTTTTCTATTGAAGCAATGGAAGAAAATGTTGTTGTTTTTTCCAAATATTTTTCCCCAGATATATTTAAAAAAAAAATGACTTTAACAAATATCAAGTTACACTGACCCCAATAGGCAATAACATCAGGCAGATTGTGATTTATTGTTTATCAACCTTTTAGATTTAGAATTCATTCCCTCTTAGTCTGTTATCTTTCCCTTGGAAAACTGTAAAGATATAAAATGGTCTTTTCTTTCGGTTATTCTGTCAGATTTGGCCTGAACTGCTTAAGCCCAGGTTGCAGTACGGCCTTAAAATGGGACAGAGTCTCCTAAACATTGAACTCCCAGAATATTGTCACATTCCGTCCCTTAGCAGGAGAGAAAGTCCAAAGATGGCTTTCTGTAGTAAGTTTTAAACACAGTTGATTATTATATCTGCTTTTTTTTATCCAGTTCACCAAAACTGTGTGAGTCATGTTGGAGCACAGCATAATTATTATCCAGAGGTTAGTTAAAAAAAGGTCTTTTGTATGTAACCCATTTCTTATCGAGCAGTGGGCAGGTGTGTATTTCCGGGCTAAGGCTCCATTAGACACAAAGTGCCATTCTTTGGGAATCAAACAAGGAAACTTGCAGGATTCCTGAAGCAAGTGCTATGCTTTAAACAATAGACAATCACTTCCTGTTTTTGAGGTATTTAACTCAACATCAACCAAGCCTCTATTATTTAATCAGGATTTTACAAAAAAAAAACATGTCTCTGAACTTTAAATGTTGACGATTACTGACATTTGATTTAGAAGCTGAGCTCTATATTAAAACTAACTTATTCCTTGTATGATTACTTTAAAATTATTATTATTTTTGGTGTTTGCTGTATCTTTCCCACATTTATCAGATTAAAAGTTGACAGAACTGTGAGGTTCCTTAAATGTTTGATGTGACCAGATGTGGAAAATAGCCCATCTGCAACCCATGCTTTTATTTTGAAGGCATCCGGAAAACCAACTCACCTTCCTGCTCCTGCAAACTGTTTTCTGGGTTGGACAGTTAACAGAGAAAAATAAAGTCTTTAGCTCCAATTTTGTATATAATTTTACTTGAAATAAATAAGTTAAAGTAAAAAGCTAAGACTAGATATTAATTGTTCAAATAGAAAAATAGAGTAAAAGTGCAGAGATAAAATGGAACAGTTAAATAATTATATCAAAATAAAGTACATTTTTATATAAATATATCTCTAGTTTTTATCAGTTTGTTGCATTTAATTGCTCACTAATTTAAATTTCAAGCCATTATCTTGCATACAATTTATGTGTATGTTCTTTTATTTTTAATTATGGCAGGATTGGTCCTCCATAGATAAGAGGGATATGAACTGAGATTTGGGCTCAGCAGCTGTGAATAACTGGGTCAGACATAATTTTAGAGAAAATCATAGTTGCATCACAGACTGCACATCCCTTGTTTTTTTTATTTTTTTTTATCTTGGTAAAAACAAGCTTATAATTTTTCTTCCAATTAAAATGAAGAACTAACTAAAGTTAATATTCGAAAAGAGACCAACATGGAAATAATTCTGCTTATTAAAGCAAAGATGACCAGGTCTGGAAATATGATCTATGTTTTCTTTATATTCACTCTGGGTAAACATCCGTGCAGTTTCAGCTTGCATCCTTTTTCTTCGTACTACTGACATGACATCATTTTCCTCCTCTTCCTCGCACAGATCAGTAAGTGTGTTTCACTTTCTATCTCTCTCTCCGCAGAATTCCCCACTGTTCCAGTACCTTCAGGATCTAGGGCACACCGACTTCGAGTCATGTCCGACGGCGTCTCAGGAGGAGGAGGAGGAGTACGGAGGTGCAGAGGGAGACCTCAACTCTGCTGGCCAACATAAGCAAAAAACAGCAGTGAGTTTTCCTCCATCCTACTGTCATATATGAACTAAGCCTCTCTCTGTTTGTGAGACATCATCTTTTTCCTGCTGCATGTCTCCAGCTTTATTCTTTCTGCACCCGGGTTAAAACCAAACTTAACCCTCTATAAATATGTCAAACAACTTTGTGTCATGTTTTTATTTGGTGATGTTGTTTTTTTTTTCTCCCTCCGCCTTATTTCTTGCTTCTGGGGTATTATCAGCTATTATCAGCAGAAATATCAGCTATTAATTTATTTTGAAACTTCGAAATCATTTAAAAAATGTCTTACGAAAACCACTGTGGAATTGGGGTCTGGAAAAATGATAAAATGTTTTGAATAGCGATACGTAGATTGTGAAGATGCACAGTCAAAATATCATCCAACTGTATAATAATAATAGCAATAATTCATCAAATGAAATGGAATATTTGCATTAAATGATAAAGTCCCAGCGGGTGGCTTCTTATCTAACATTTAAGCTGGTTTCTTGTTGTATCCTAGACCATTCACTGTGTTTTTTCTTGTATTGACCTCCAAAAATTGTCTCATATTGGCTGTTGTTCATCTGATGTTACAAACATTACAGGAAAACTCGTCTCCAGTTAGATTCAGGAATTAGGTTTTTGCTTTTTTTGCATCAGATAAATAAAGAGGTGCTTTGATTTTTATATGAGATTTCTTTAATGCAATAACTGGAATCTGGCTGCTTTTCTTTCTGCATTACTCCAAACTCAAAGAGCAGCTGTATACAGGTCCTGTGTTCTCAGTCTCCAGATGATTTCAGGCACTCCTGGTTTAATCATACATTAGTGCAATCTGAGGATTAAAGTAAACATTTATGACTTAAGTTTTAGGCAACCTGGGATTCAGTTCCAGGAGTTTTCCTGTTAAGCTCATGATGAGGGAATCACATGATTCAACCTCTCCTTGTTTGCCCTCCTCATGAAAATGGGAAACAGGAGTTACGCTTGCCTCGCTCAGGAACTTTCCATGTGTGTCATGCTTCCTTTCTGACGCTCTGTTGTTCTAAGGAGGACAAGGGACTCGGATCTGACTCTTCCTCTCATCCAGACATTTCCTTAAACTCAGATAATAGTTAAACTCTAATAGATAAATGTTAGTACCGCTTCAAACACTCGGGAATGTCAACATCCTGAATGTAACTTGCTGCATTGTGCTAAAGGGGGCATTCTTTAAATTTGCAGGATTGTGGAGATGATTTGCATAATTTCTTGCAGCATTAGGAGATATGAACAAAATTGTTAATTCAATCCATTATTAATGTCCCTCTGAATACATTTATGACCATGAGCGGTTCTAGACAGGGGCCAACAGGGGCCAGTGCTCCTGTAGATCATGTCCTGTCCCCTTTACTGAAGACATAATACTAATGATGCACATGGTTACTGATAGGTACTTTGGATCTATTTCTCTTTTTTACTAATTATTTAAAAACAATAAGGTAATAGCTTCAGTGGGATTTAGATAGGATCCCAGTTTTCATCTGCTAAATGTTTTTTTCAAAACAAATAAAAAAACCTACTCTAATTTTTACAGCTGAATTTATCCGTTTTTCTTGAGTTCTAATTCAGATTTTATAGAAAATGGTTCATTTTAACTTAAATTAAGTCAAAAATATGTACAATTCCTTCAATTATACCTAATTGAATATAAATTTCACTTCATGCAGCTATATTAATATATTTGAATCCCTTGCCCTGTTTTTTATTTCATGCTTTTCTGGGCCCCCATGAAAACATGCTGGCCCCCTCCTGGCCCCCTGCTCCATTTGGTCTAGAACCGCCACTGTTTATGACCCTTTATTACACTGTGCCACAGCTGAGGCACATTTTACCACCTAACTTGCCTGTTTTACTGCTTGATTTATTGTAAATGAACCGTTTAAACAAATCAGTCTCTGTGAGGGAATCTTTTAGTCTAACTGTAAAACTCAAATTTAAAGCACATGTAAACATGAATGCATTCTTTCATTTGCTTTGGGAGATTAATGTTTATCATACTTTCAGATTAATTTATGAAAGACTGAATGCAATCTGACCCAGCTTTATGAAGAACAAGCTTGTAAGTCGTTTCTTGCAGCAGATAACTGATGAGCTTGCAGAGTAATAACTGGATATAGATCCTTACAGGACTTTCATCATCTCTGCTTTTGCTTATTGTCTGTGGTTTGACTGCAGGCAGAGTTGTGGCCCACTTTGATAGTGCAAACATGTCGTCATGGATAAAACTGACAATCAGTGGCGTGTGAATGCCTCATCGATAATCAATACGGCTGCAGTTGTAGACTAATCATATTAACCACCTCTGAAATTAAACAAAGTCCCGTCATGAGGTTGCGTTTTTCACTCAAACGCTGTAAGCAGATTAGAGTGAAATAAATCCGGCTCCCATTTAGGCATTATATCATGAGCTTTTTTGGGGGGATCTCACAAATAAACCCAGCAACATTTAAAATAAAACCCAGGATAAACATTGCAACATTATAGATGCCTATGCCAGTTGGCCCCTAAAAAGTGGCGGTTATGTGACAGTGGGATATACCGGCTCTGTGTAGTATGCTTAATTTTTTTTACTTTTTTATGGCATTTGTAATTTGATTTTCAATAGAAACCATTCATAAATTGTTATGTTCTTAATAGTAGTCATACTAACAACAGTTATATAATATTCCTAGTTTGTATGGATCATATTTAAACAAATATATACTTAAATAACACATAATAACACAGAACAATAACAAAATAAGGCTGTCAGACAGGCACAATAGAAACCAAGCCCATTTCCACACATCAACAATTTTCTTTGGGCTTTTTCTTTTCTTTCAAAGCCTTTATATCTCTAAAAAAAAATAAAACACCTCCTCAAAATGTTCCTGCTTCCCCTTTTCTCTCTAATATTTGTTGAATCAAAAATGTAAAACTTGGTCTACCTGTTCTTCTCCAAAAGAATGCAATAGAATTATTATTTTTTTTGGATGTAAGATGACATCTCTATCAAATAACTGGGGTATAATATATATATATATATATATATATATATATATATATATATATATATATATATATTAGGGTTGTCACGATACTAAACTTTTCAACTCGATACCGATACTAAGGAAAATATTCGATACTCGATACCATTTTCGATACCACAAGGATAAAATTTCAACAGAAATATTTTGATTAATAATTAAAATACAATAAATAAATACAATAAACAATAAGAACAACATTTTGAGGTTGTTTGCTGTGCACAGTATTTAGCAAGCTTGATAAAAAACTTACAAAATTAAAATTAAGTTTTCCTTACTTGGCTATGCTTTGCACACATAACAATGACACTAGCCAAACCGGTTAAGAAACAAAAATAATTCTCAGCAGCTGCACCTGTTACAAAAAAAGTCTGAAACTGAAAAGTGCACAGAATTATTCGATCACAGTGTTCAGAAAGTGCATTTTCCTCTATTCTGCACTTTAGATGAATGACTGTTTAGGTGTGACTGGTACTCGATACTTTTGAAAATGAGTATTGTATCCGGATACAACATTTCAGTATCGATACTTTTTTGAGTATCGATACTTTTGACAACCCTAATATATATATATATCATGCAGCTGCACACAGGTCTAGAATATTGGGATTCAATCTACTTTTAGAGGAGTATTTTATGTTCTTCTTATGCCCAGTTTATACAGTAATAGTCTGATTTTTGTACTAAGGGATTGAGTGAAGCTTTATTGGAAGTTAAATCCCATTTCTCAAGGGTATTTTACACCTTATAATTCCTCACTCCTTGTTGTTTTATTACCGGTATATCACAGTTTCCTGTTGAAGTTGACATTCATAGATTTAAAAATTCTGATACTACACCTTTGCTGACATTTTTAAGTTTTTCCAGTTGTCACTTTTCAGTTATAAAAATGTATTAAAATATTTGTTATCCAATTGGGTCTATTTCTAATTGAAATCTGGGAATTGGGGGGCAGAGGAGGTCTTCTCAAGCACACATTGCAGTCATTGTTGTTGCTTTGTTTCCTTGGTTACTTCGTTTGAGCGTGGATAATGTATGAACTACAGAACTATTGTGAATTTATCTCCTAAAGCTCTGATTGTGGTTCTTTGCAATGTGTGACTTGCAGGGAGGATGTTTATGGAGACTGGTTGAGGCCTTGAGGAGATGGAGTCCCCTTCACCAGGCAGATGAATCTCATAAGCTGGAGCAGCAGCTGGTAGGTCTAGAAATCAGCTGCTTTGCAGCGTTTAATTACCGTATTTTCACGACTATAAGGCGCACTTAAACGTCTTTTTTCCCCCTCAAAATGTGCGGTGCGCCCTATGGTGCGGTGCGCCCTATGTGTGTTGTAACTGCGACCTTTGAGACCACCTCATTGAGAAGATGATGAAAGAGTGGCTGAATGTAAGGAGACCAGCTGTTTTTTTTCCACTCATCACCATTAATCTGTAACTCCATGCGTGCCCATCTCACAGCTGATGTGAAAAACATGGGGAAACAAATTAACCCTGTGCTCGCTGTTCAACCGCTCGACATCGGTGTGAACCGGACCCAGCAGGTGCAGCAGAAGCAGCGAGGAATAACGTGTCTGCTGGCTCTGTTCTTCAAGCTTTTGCAAAAGCAGGCATTATTTCTGAGGAGCCGCGCTGCACGGAAAGTGACTCTGACAGCGCAGAAGGGGAAACTGGCATGTCTGATTTAGCGCAGCTGTTTAATTCAGAAACAGAGGATGAGGACTTTGAGGGGTTTGATTAATACTTTGTAATAAATACTTGAATAAAGCACAATCATACTCAGTTTTGCTCCCGCTCTATTTTTCTACCTGAAAACTTAATTCAACAGCAGCCTCTGGTCCGCGGCGCATCCGGACTCACCTCCGCAGGTGTTTTTTCATCTAAATAATCTAAATCTTTTTAAGTGAGAAAGTCCACCTGAAAATTTAATCATTGCAGTCAGTTCATCCAGATTATTATCCTGCCTATGTTTTAAGTTAATTTATGCGTCAATAAATTGTATCAGAGGAGTAATCACAGCCCTGTGTCATCAGCGATGTGTCTCTCATGGCCAGCTCCCAGGTTTGAAGAATACTTTGTAATAAATACACCTTGCAGCTTTATTTGCTGTGATCAGTGGGAATAAAGTAGTTTTAATATGTTTTTAAGTGGGAAAATCCACCTGAGAGGACATGTACCTGTATATAAAAAACGCGCCCTATAGTCCGGTGCGCCTTATGTGTGTGTTAAATACAGAAATGGGACACATAACTGAGAGTGCGCCTTTTAGTCCGGTGCGCCTTATGGTCGTGAAAATACGGTAGTGAAACACTCATCGTTTATCTTACTTCATTGTTCCTTTCACCTGAACACAGGACAGTGCTTTTGGCCAGTACTCGGTCAGATGCATCCTGGACCAGGACGTGCTGTTGCAGGAGGATGTGGAGCTTATCGAGCTTTTGGACCCGAGCTTGCTCACCTTCGGCTCGTCGCCTTCCGGCTCACCAAGCCGAGTGAGCTCCCTGCCCAGGCTGAGTCTCGTCCCCAGGCTATCACTATGGTATTTCTCTTGAGATCATTTATTTATCTGAAATGGACAGCATACATTGATTAAAAAAAGAAGTTAATGCTAGATATGTTTAGCAGAACAAAAGAAGGCTTGCATAGTTTCATATGTCACACAGATAAGAATGAAGAGAAAGTGAAGAAATACACGTACTCCCCAAAAATAATTGTTCCCCATTTATAGCCCTGTGGAACGCCTGTTTACTAATAGGAACCTGATTTTACATTTTATGATTTTAACAGTTTAAGAATGTTTAACATGAAATATCCTGCAGTTTTACCACAATTATAGGTAACTACGTTAATAACGTCTAATAATTGTATGTATTACTTAGTCCAAAGATTATAAATCATTGATATATATCCTAAAATATAAATGAATTGGACCCAGTTTAGAACCCTGGTGTGCACCATCTTCTAACCTTCCACCCCTAAACTTGTATTTTCCTCTCCAATCAGGGACGTAGCGGGGCTGGTGGGAGTGGCTGTAATGCTGTTAGGAGTCTGTTCCTCTTCTGGGAGCCTGTGGTCTCTGGCTGCTGCGCCGTGGGGTCTGGCTCTGCTGGGCTGGATGGGAAAGAGGGGCCTGGTATTGTGGAGACGCCGACGCATGCAGAAGGACGTCCAAACCAGGGCCAACCGGCTCCAGACTCTGGTCCATAACAGCAAAACTCTGACGGGACTGGCCCGGAAAGCTCTGCGTCTGGTGCAGGAGACAGAGGTCATCTCCAGAGGGTTCACCCTGTAAGTGTGCTTGTTTCGCTTGTTTCGGGACATACTTCTACATACTTCTACATTCAGGCTTCAGAATCACTGTTAAAGTAATTCTAGTTGGTATTAATGATACAGATTCCACATTTTTAGCTTTGTTTTTAATTGTCTGAATCTTTAAATCATCGTACTGTGCGTCTTATGTGTTGTGTGTGCCCCCCCGCCTCTTTGGGACGTCTCCACAGTTGTATCACATTTCACTTGTCAAGTTTGCTCGACAGGGTGAGTGCGGCCGGATCCTTTAGCAGGGCGGGGCCCGGGGCGGTGCCCCGCAGCCAGCAGCTAATTGGCCTCAGGAAGGTCCTGTACCGGGCTCTCCGCTCGGCCTTCAGAGCCTCGCGCAGGGCCACCTGTCACATGCTCAAAGCATATCCTTGATCAGTTAAGATATTAGCACCTCAGTAGGTTATGAATTCATGCAGCTTTAACACCATTTGGTGAGACTTTCATCTGTGTGAATGAACCTTTTCCACCTGTAGTTTGTCTCTTTTTTAACGTTTCATTTATTTACTTTTATTTCAGTGTTTTAATTTAGCATGATATAATTTTTCAATTTTATCAGAGACTTTAAAACAATTAAGATTGCATTGTCATCTTTAGGAATTTTTTTTATTTTAATTTTCATATTTTTCCTCTTTCTTTAACTTTTGTTGTCTTTTTCTCTGTTCTTTTCCTGTTTTATTGTTTATCAGTGTCTTTTTTTTTACCTTTCTCTTTATTTCTTTTCTTTACATTTTTGTATTTTTCATTTATATTTTTTAATCTTTGTTTATTTTCACCAGCTTTTTTTTTGGTTGATCATTTGGTGTTAGGTTTCTTAGTCTTTTTTTTTTTTCCTGTATTTTTTTTACTTAAATTTTTAATTGCTCTATTCTTTTTCCCAGCTTTATTGCATATTTTTTTTCTTTTTTGGAGCAATCCTTTTTTTCTTTTCTCCCTTTTGATTAATTTTCCATTAACCTGCCTTCTTTTTCTTTAATATTTTTTCCTCTAACAAAGAAACAGGATTTTTATGGGTCAGAAATCCCTCTCATTCTTTGATAGAATTGGTAATTTAATGCGTCATGACACATTTTTGATTAAAAAGGACCCTTCCTTTTTAGGAACATTAACTGGGCAAACATGAAAAGTTTCTAGATGTAGACATCATTTGTTTCTTTAACTTCTCTGAACGTTCCCGCTGAACTCTGAGGTCGACAATGTGACCAACTATGTGTGCGCGGTGCCTCTGAAGGAGCTGGGGCTCGGCCTGGGGATCGAGCACCTCGGGGACGAGCAGGCGCAGGAGCTGACTGATGACTACAGCCTTCCAGCCCTCAAGGTTGGATGTTGTGTTCCTAAAGTAAAGGAATACCAGGTTTATTTAGAAATCATTGAAATTGTCTGATAAACTGTTTATTCTCTGCAGATGCTCTTCCAGCTGTGGTTGGGTCAAAGTTCAGAATCTTTGCGACGTCTCGCTCTTCTCCTCTCGCCGCACCGAATTGCAGAGTCTGAGGAGGACAGAACCAAAGAAGACACCTACCCTCCTTCTTCCCACCCACCGCCTCCGCTTCACCGCTCCGTCGCTGCCGTGACCGAGCCCCTCCATCACGCTCTAGCCAGCTGTCTCGCCGACGTTCAGCGCAGCTACGACTTCCACCGACACTTCGAGATGCAGCCGAGGTTGTCGAGCTCCGACAAGAACGGGCGTGCGAGGGAGAAATGCAGAGAGCTGAACGTCCTGCACACGTCCATCCGAAGCCTGCAGCTCCACCTCAAGGCGCTGCTCAGCGAGTGAGACGCAGCACACACAGCTCTTATCCAATCCCTGCATTCGCTGAGAGGCAGTCAAAACACGTATAAAATGACGCTCAAAGAAAATTAATTAACTGCAAGCATTAATCTAAGCTTCACCCTTTTAAATAATAATAATAATAATACATTTTATTTTTAATGCACTTTATATTTAAGAAAAATCTCAAATGCAACAGGTAAAATCATCATAGAAAGGTTAAAACAAAAAATTAAAAACTAAAGTACATATGAATAAATAAGTCAGTGGCATAATTATAAAACGTTAAGAGTCGTAAGTTCTGCTAAAAATAAATGTTTTTAATCCTTTTTGGTGAACAGGATGATCATCTTGGAGGATGATCTAGAGAAGCTGATGGTGTCCAAGCAGCTGACAGATTTAACCCTGGAAGGCTACCGCGACCTGAACGAGCGGCTGCAGCTGCTGCAGCCCCACATGCAGGCCAGCGCTGGCTGCTGGGAGGACACAGTCAGCCAGGTGGAGCGCATGCTAAGACGAGCCAACTCCTCTCCAGGTAGGAAGAAAAAATGCAGATACACCACATTTAGAAGGCTATTATTCACAGGATATCAATTAGTCTCACATCTCGGATCAGAGTAATTTTTTAGTGCTAAGAAATAGGGGTGTAAATAATAATCGTTTTGTATCGATGCATCAATCCAACAGCCGACGATCCGATGCATCGACACGTCCGCCAGAGTATCGATTCATGTTTTGTTTTTTCCTCCGGTCTATTTTTATCCATTTGCTCCTGGGCGTAATTCTCCCTCCTGTGCTGTGGTGGCGCTAAACCTATTTTGCCCTCCTACCTCGCTTCCTGGTTATACTCTTACAGCAGTGTGTCACAGACATTTTTGATTTATGCCCAATATTGAAGCGTGGTCTGCGCTACACGCTGTGGGTTTAGATACAGACGAGGCGGAGAGGAAGTGGGGACGAGTTTAGTCCGACGACGGAGGGACATGAGGGCCAAAAAGAGCAGAGATCCAGGTGGAAAAACGGTCCCAGCGTTCTCGCGCACCTCGCTCTTCTAGCGGGTCAAATTCCACGAGTTGTTTTCCGCAATTTTGGTCATAAAAACAAAACAAGCCGGCCTCCTGTCTGCGGTCAGCTACAATTTGGGAGAGGAGCAGCGGAGCGTCTGTGGAGGGGGCCGGACGTCTGGAGCAGAGGTATTGCATTGCACTCATTGCACTGATTTTGTGCAGTATTTTTTCATGCAAGGCCTTTCAGAATCTTTAACGCAGGGCTATTATTATCTTTCAGTGAATGAGGTTTTAATAGGAATAGATGGAGTGCAACTTTTCTACTGTTATTTGCTGTTGTTTCTCAAATAAAATGGATAACGATATTACAGCTTTCATTGATTTATTTCAAATTTGAAACCTTGTCTAGCCTGTAAGGTGTAAAAAAAAAAAAAAAAAAAACAATTAATCGAATCGTATCGTGGTGTATTTTTTGAGTATCGAAAATAATCGAATCGTTGGGTCAGGATATCGATAAGGAATCAAATCGCCATGATGGATTTGATTTACACCCCTACTAAGAAATAACAATGGTTTACCTGGAGAAAATTTTCATAACAATGAAATGGCAAACTTTTTTTATTCTATTCTTAATTTCTTAAAAAGATATTTAGTGTCTTTTACCTAAATTAGTAAATCTATAACTTCCTGTTTATCTAAGGCATTGATAGAATGTGACACAGAGAACTTTACAAAATGGAAAACATTTAAGAAAGATAATTTCACAAGGTGTTTTATTTCTTTTTTTTTTACTATATTCCTGGTGGAGCCGATGGAAAGCTATGGATGAACATGCATGCAAATTGGTTCGTTGGCATCCCTGGTAAAGATGTGCAAAAAGCTTTAGAATGAAAATCGAGGCTTAAACTCATTCTGGGAAACAAATTAATTTTTTGAATCATAAAAAATGGGGAAAATGATCTTATGTCAAAAAAGGTTATATTTAACAAAATCACCTTTGAGAGAAATATTCTCTCCTTACTGATGATTCCCCTTTAGGTTGGGGTAAATCATCTCTCTGGTTTTATTTTCTTTTATTGAATAGAACTTAGTTCAGGAGATTGAAGGGATTACAAGCAGAGGACTTGACATGCGTGTCAGTTTTTTTTACTTTGAGCTTCTTTTTTACTATTTTAGCTCAGCTGAACAACTGGATTCCACTTACCTTTTTCACTAAAGCTTATCAGGGCTTAAAATGAGCGAGTATGCTACCAGCAGCGTAGTCCCAACAATCTGGCTGCTTTGTAAGCCAGAACAGGTGATTAGATTTAAATCAGAGGGGCTTTACTGTAGGAGCTGTGGGGGAAACGCTCATACTATCATGGAAAAAAAGCATAGTCGTCCTTTAATGGACTCCGTTGTTGGAATGCAGAACTCCATCTTATATTTTTGAAGAACCGGATCAACCAAAGCAGAGCTATCAAGATATCCAGACCTCTGATTGATTCGGTCAGCTGTAGTCTGGGAGCTCACAGCGCCCCCTATGTGCAGGTAATGCTGATGACACTGAGCAGTTTGGTCCTCTGGTTCCTGAGGTTCCTGCTCCTCCATCCTACCCTCTGATTCTGGACAGAGACCCGGTGCCGGAGGAAATCGTAAGATCAAATTCTCACCATTTGAACCAATGATTAAAGTTTTTTTTTTTTTTTTTTTTTCTTCTTCTGTCAAATCTCATCCTCTATTTCTCTGTTTCATTCCACCAGGAGCTGGAGGCCTACGTCTCCGACTCGGACTCTGACGGGGAGGGAAGAGGGTCGTGGTCCGACTTGCTGTCCCCAGAGGAGCGGGAACGACAGCAGAGGGAGAGGGAGGAGTCTCGTCGCGTCCTGTCTGAGCTGAAAGCCGTCCTGGGCTTCCGCGCGTCCGACGGGGAGAGGATGAAGAGGAAGCAGATGCTGTTCAGCGACCAAGGTCTGCACTGGAGTTATTCTTGGAATGAGGCTGCTGCAGGCTGAAGCGCCTCACCCCCAGTTTCTCTCACTCAGGATTTCACTTTCCTGTAGTTAACCATACATTCTTATTTTCAGCTAATGTTAGGCTGTACTTTAATGAATACACCATAGAACTCCAAAAGCACAAAATGTTTAGCTTCTTACAATCTAAGATTTACAGCTACCAACTATCTATAGTCCTAAATATTCATGTCACAATCACATACATCAATGATTTAAGCGGTGGAGAACAATAAATATCCTTAAGTTGGATACCCCTCGATGAAATCTGCAAACCTCTTAGAAACACGATAGCGACTGAGCCTTATAAACTAATGTCTGCACTCAAACTCCATCCAGTCTGGATGCGTTTAAGTAAATTTAAGTTCAGAAGTGGAAAGAAATTATCTACAGGTGCGAAAAAAGGAATCAAAAGGGGTTGTAGCTTTTATTAAAAAAAAAAAAAAAAAAATCAAGATCTGGTTCTACAAAGATGCAGTTTTTAATACTTGGTCCTCATAAAGTTAACTACTCTGAAAGTTGTCAAGGGGCTGAGTCCAACTCCAAGCCAAAGCTTTTTTAGATTTCATTGTTATTATTTCAGGGTTCCGCGGGTCCTTAAAAAGTCTTAAAAGGCATTGAATTCTTCAAAATAAAACTAAGGCCTTAATTGGTATTAAAATGTCTTAAATCAGTCTTTCGTAGGTCTTAATTTTTAAAACATCATAAATAGGATTATTTTCATTACGATTTATTTTTGTAATCTAAATAAAACGTTAAAATTGAAAAAAAAAAAATTTATTTAAAAAAATAACGGCTCGCCATTATTGGTTCCGTCCCGATAGCGGAACCAATAAAGCGTTGTTGCGGCCGGGACATTTGGGAGATGCGCCATTAACTTTTTGTCTGGAAAATATGAGCAAGTGTAAATGTAACCAAAATTGGCTCCAGCCAAGAGTTTTCTCCATGGCTAAAACCAGGGAACATACATGAGGCTCAGTGGATTTTGTGGAAGAAGCGATTCAAGCTCGGAACGAAGGGAATTAAGGCAGTGGAGTCGCACATGTGAAGCACGAAACATAAAGCTTCAAAATGGAGTTACCGAGAAACAGCCGGTATTTCTCGGTTTAGTTCCACCCTTGTCTCTGCAACGCCTCCACTTATCACCAAATCAAACATACTAAGAAAACGATACAAAGAAAAATAGCTGCAAAAAAGACTTAGCACTGGTTATGTTGTGTCTTTAAAACTGATTTGTTTTGTTCCCTGCTGAAACAAAGTTTGTGAATTTAGTTAAATAATTGTTAAAATATATCTGGCATTTTTTTGTTTTTAACTTTCTTCCTGTATGGAAAGCTTTTCAAAATTTGAAACATTAGTGCAGTGGTTTATGTTAAAATAAACCTTTGGGTTAAGTTGTCGCAAGCAGGTTTTTCTTGTGAATTTGGTCTTAAATTTTTATTTCAAGTGGCATTAAAAAGTCTTGAATTTAACTTGCCTTATGCTGTAGGAACCCTGTATTTGTCATGTGGTCGGTTTATAACATAAAGTTACTGTAAAACAAGATGTTGAAAAAAAAACTTTGGTGACACGCTGTATAAAGCAAGCTCATAACCGTAAATGCTTCTTTTCTTACAGCGGCTTCATCGCCTTCAGTTCTGAGTCAGGGTCAGGATCCCGCTGCTCCCAGTTCTGTAAGCGCTGCAGGAACTGGTGCTGAGGAAGGAAACTACCTATCAGAGCGCCATGCAGGAAACGACGTGGAGGAAGAGGAAGGAAGCTACGACAGGGTGAGGCCCGACCCTGTCACAGAGTTCAGCTGCGGCCTGGAGGAAAGGGAGACGGGAGGACCCCCCGTCTGTGGCGGAGGAGGAACGTCAGAGCTGCACCAGTATGACGGTGTTGCTGAGGAGGAAGAAGAGCGTCAGAACGGTCTGGACTGCTTCCTGAATCCTAAAATCCCCGCCGTCTCTGTGATGGACAGACTGACTGAGATCCACGGCTCAGAGACTCTCAGCTTTAGCTCCGCCCTTGCCGCTCAAGTGGTGGCGCGCTCGCAGTCGCTTGTCAACATGGAGGAGCAGACGTTTGGAGACGACGACGATGGTGATGAGGAGGAGGAAGGGGAAAACGCCATCACCTCAGAGAAGGATTAAACATCAAGCTGACTGCTTTAACAGAGCAGAGACAGTATTTATGTCTGACTGTCTGTTTGGTCCGTATTACGTCCCGTTATGTTCCAGCTCTCATCTATCACTGTGCTTCACCTACAATTCTTATTGCTGTGGAAACTCAGGAACAAGACCCACTGACACAGTGGGGTTCAAGTAGCAGATTATCCTCAGATACAACCAGATAATTTAGCATAATCTGTCTTACCTGTGGATGTAATAGAAAAAAACGTCTCCTTCGCTGTAATCACCTTTCATTTAGCTGATTTGTTGTCACCTCACATGGTTACTGATGGAAGAAGAAAGAGCTTCACTGCTCAATTGTTTATCCGCTACACAAATGTTTATATTGAATTTAGCCAAATTGATCTATAATTCGAACTTTTTCTGCTCTTAAAGACGAAAAGCCAACTTAAAAATGTTGATATAGTGATAAAAATGGTCATATACTTTCAATTCAAAGCATTTTACTTTTACTACAGCTTGAAACAATAGCTGCTTAACCCCAAAAAAAATCAATTTGTGTCTGAAATAGTTTTTATTTGAGTATTAAATGTAACGCACCCTTTAACTTAATGGCAAAACCCTGAATGATTAAAAAGAAACACTTTTAGACGCAGCATTACAATCATGCACCTTTAATTAGATCAAATTTATTCTGTAGCAGAAAAGGAAAAGTTGTAATTGTTATATAGTCGCTCCTGCTGCCGGTGTGTTTTACCAGTAAATAAAAGGACTCTAAATTGAATATTTTAGGTGTGCCAGGGTCTTAGGAAGAGAACTGGACCCACAGCATTACATGTCCTCCACCGTACTGAACATGAAGTGCTGTTTCATATATTCGTCCTCTTTCCACACCAAAGTCAGGGAGTGTTTCTTGCAGAGAAGCTATAATAACATGGACAATTGGCCAGTAGATGGCTTGATATGTTATAAATCACCCCCCTCTCTGGGAGCGGTGGGAATAATGAACTTGGTTTCTCTTCCAACGTGGATAAAAACCCAATAAAACTATGATAGCTGCATTGGTTTTATTGTTTTTAAATATTTCTCTTACTGTGGATATTTGGAGGTTTAGGTTAGGAGATGTTTTCTTACACCCTGTTTTCTGACAGAAGAATTAACACACATCTAACTTGTATTTATTGTTCTCTTTGTTTTTTTGCTTTTTTAGGTTAAAGAATAGTTGGTGAAATGAAATTAAGAAAAACATTTAGCTCCATTTCATTTAAATAGATGTTTTAATACTTTTCAAGAGTTTTTCTCCCCTTGCTGAATGAATAATCTTGAGTTAAATGTTAAAATTTGTAGAAATGATTGCTGCTGTCAAAAAAAAATTCTTCTAATGGTTTTTTACTCAGAGTGCCAATAGGTTTGAGGGTGCTACACATTAATATTCCAATCAAACTGTTTGTTGGATCAGATTTAAAATGATGTTCTCTTTCAGGAAATATTCAGTCTGAATTCATTGGTAGAAAATATAGACGAAGCCTAAAGAAAAAAAAGTAGATTTGTATAGGAGAAATTGTGATTAAGCTAGGCAAAATAATTTACGGAAGAAAATTAGGGCCACTGGAAAAAAAAAAAAAAGTTTACTGATTTTAAAATTTTATTTCAATTTAGTATGGGGAAAAAAGCTGACTTTTTTTCTTAGAATTCTGACTTTTTTCTCAGAATTCTGACTTTAATCTTAGAATTCTGACTTTTTTCTTAGAATTCTGACTTTTTTTCTCAGAATTCTGACTTTTTTTCTTAGAATTCTGACTTTTTTTCTCAGAATTCTGACTTTTTTCTTAGAATTCTGACTTTAATCTTAGAATTTGGACTTTAATCTCTGAATTCTGATTTGTTTCTCAGAATTCTGACTTTAATCTCAGAATTTTGGATTTTAATGTAGATGGGCACCATGAAGGAAGAGTTGTCGGAAGCACTCAGTGTCACTGACAAAAATGTGAGTTGTTTGAGGTGGCCAGTGACACATAGGTGGAAAATGACGGAATTTGGAAACTTTTTACGTGCCTGAGGGGTCCCTTCATTAATGGAGGAGCAGAAGGTCATTAAAACAAGAGAGCTAGTCTCTAAAACAGACATGGCTATGGCTTGATGCTAACATGTTTGTTAGCTGTCAGAATTCTGAGAAAAAAGTCAGAATTCTGACTTTTTTCCGATACTAAACTGAAATAAAATTTAAAAATCAGTTAACCTTTTTTTTTTTCAGTGGCCCTAATCCTCTTCTGTAATAATTAGGAAAATGAAGCATGACAAAGAAGATTGAAGATTGAGGGTTATTTGCAGTAGAAGTAGTACAGTTTACACCTTTGTTGGTGTATAAATACTATTAGTCCAGCGGGAAAATCCGGAATACAATCTGAACACACTCAGCAAGTCACGACTCAGCTGACTTCTTCCAAATACATGTGAGGGAAGAAGAGGAAGTCTTGTGCTTTTTTTTTTTTTTTTCTTTCTTATCAGCGCTCTATTTCTGTCCCCCTGGTCCATGCCATCTGCTCTGGGGAAGAGGGGGAAAAGCAGAGCGTACTCTCGCCGTGCTGCTTCCTGTTACATTCTTGGGAAGCTTTCCAGTTTCTAGAGAGAACTCATGACAAATTTCACCAGTCTGTGTTTACAGGGGGGTCCCTCATTGAAACGTCAGGGTTCAAAGTGTTTAACGTGAATGTCATTTGCTATGGTGAACATTTGATGCTTAAAAACGTAAAAAATAAAGCACCCGAGCGTGATGATCTTAGCTCCGTCCTTCATCTCCACCTCGTCACCATGTTTGCCTTCCTGCATATTTCCACCTTGAAATAAAGCACCACTCTGGAAGTGTTGAAGTGAGTCGGCTGCTTTGTGTCTCAGTGGGGGTTTACAAACAGGTTGGGTGGGTTACTGGATCTGTTTTGATAGCCTTTTCTTTTGTTGGACAAGTGACACCCCTCCCAATCCCTTTTCTAACGTTTCCTTCTTAAATGGGCTTCATAGATTAATTTCAGGAGGAACTTTCTACTAGTTACTACTTGGATTAACAGTTGGGAGAAAAAAAGACTACTTTCATTAACATTAAAAAGCCCCTCTAGTCCTTATAAATATATTGCAAGTTACAAATTTAACTAAAGATATATATATATATATTTTAAATGGTCAAGTTTTTTTTATTGACTTATAGTAATAATCAGTATCCACAGTACTATATCCATAAAATCTTTATATGTGAGGCAGTTAAATGTCTTCAAATGCTAGTTTGATTCAGATTGCTTTATACCACATTTAATATAACCTTTCAGTCAGTTCAAGCATAACAAACATTGGTTGAAAAGTTTTCTGTTTAAAGAAAACAAGCAGATGGTATCAAGTCATATAAACTGAAATGCAGGAATTAACCAAGCGGTTATATATAAACTTTCAAAATGTATTAAAACCAAGTCTCTGCTCTTTTATTTAACTGTAGCGCGTATGCCACCTAGTGGCTTTTTCAATTAGACTGAGATTCAGGCTATACTCAGGTCATGACATCGACCCTCTATGTCTTTCTTTAAGGAATCTCCATAGTTTTTGCTCTATGGAAAGATGCAATATAAACTTTAAAAATGTATGGTACCCAAACATCCTTTTTAATTGGTGGGATAAGAAAAATGTAAAATTGTGGATTTTTTGAAGATGTAATGACAGCCATCTCTCCAGTGCCTTTACCTGACATGCAGTGCTATATCAGTATTCACTGAGGAAATGTGCATGTTTTTCTTAGTAAGTCACTGTTGCCTTGCAGCAAGAAGCTTCTGGGTTCAGTTCCTTGTCTGTGGTCTTTCTGCATGGAGTTTCCATGTTCTCCCTGAGCATGCATGGGTTCTCTCCGGGTACTCCTCCTCCCACAGTCCAAAAACATGACTGTCATGTTAATTGGCTTCTCTAAATTGTCCTTAGGTGTGAATGTGACTGTGTGCATGGTTGTTTGTCTCTGTGTTGCCTTATGAAAGACTGGCAACATGTCTAGAGTGTAAACTGCCTCTCGTCCATAGACTGCTGGTGATAGGCGACCCTGACAAGGATTACGCAAGAGAAGATGAATGGATGGATGGTTGGAAGATTTCTTTTAGGGTTGTAGATTGACGTAAACAGTAGTCCTGTGTCATATCTGTGATCTGCTTTTTTCCAGGCGGTGTACATGCATTCATTACAAGCTCTAAAATACATAAATAGTAAGAATGGTGTTATCTTTATTTATGTAAGTATTATTTTATATAGTATTGTATAACTTTATAACTGTTGTATAGAATCCTGTGCAGTTTGTACATTAAATGGAATAATTTAAGCATAAGTATGTTATAACAAATACTACAAAATCTACTGCTAGATTTTAGTAGTATTTTTTTTTTTTATTACACAAATTTACAGCTAAAATCATTAGTAGTGGTAGTAAATGAGTTATCTATAGGTATTCCATCTTTGGCCTTAGCTGAGTCTGCAGGTTTTACACCGTGAGGCGTTTCATTGCTCAAATGTGGCTGGGATATATACCCCCATAAAATCCCCATAGCGTAAAATAAATAATTACATAGTTGGATTATATAATGCTGTCCTCGTGCAATATATATTTCAGTCTATAAGGCAGTTCTGAAGTACAAAAAAAAATGCACGGTTCACAATAATACACGATAATATAGACGAAAGTGTCAGACATACAGTATTTCGAGGCATGAACCGCGTTTTGTAAAGTCCTGAGTGTTCATGAACGCACCAAAAGCTCCCTCCTGCTTCCTTTTCGAGCAGCGCCTGCGATCATGGCGGACGTTGTCGCGGAGCAGAGAGTGGTCCAGGCACCAGTCAACGAAAGAGAACTGAACGGAGAGGCCGAGGTCCGGGAAGAGGCCGACCCAGTGGAGGAGGCAGCCAAAAAGAAGAAGAAAAAGAAGAAAAAGAGCAAGTCTGCAACGACAGGTGAGGGTTTTATGAGGCTACTGTCATGCTAACAGCTAACGGAGCTGATATTAGCTTAGCTGAAGCTGCGTCAAACTAGCTAGGGTTAGCCGCATCGGAATCGGAAATATTTAAAAGTGGCTTTTAATTTAACTTAATTAAATTTAAAAACAGTCAATTTTTGCTCTTGCCTCGCATAGTGATCGGTGGGTATTTTTGCATATCTAATGTTATGCTTTGACATATCGCTGATCATAAAGACTGAAAACTTTATTACATCGGTGAAATTTAAAGCTACTCCCAATAGGGCTCGGGATCCACGTTGCATTGTGGGACGTCGCGGTCATATTGACGGCTACGCAAACGTAAACATAGCTCTGACACAACGTTGTTGTTGAAAGAAGAGACAGAAGTAGAGAGAAAAAAGATGTTAAAATCCCGAAAAGGATCTGGAATTTACCAGGACACATTAAATAGAGAAGCCAGGGACCGGTATGGTGACAAAATCAGCATTATTAATCATTTGGATCCATATGAAGTTCCAAACAATGAGTGGAGCACCGATGAGCGAGCGCCTATACTTCAAAACAGTTCCGAAGCTACAAGTCCTTGGAGTCTCATATGCAGTTCATGAATGGATGGGTTCAGGAGCTGCAGATCATAAAGCCAGCAAGCAGTGGGAACAGAGTAATTCGTACGAAGGTAAGCTGTGATCAGACGGGCTCTGGAACCTGCTAGTTTAGCAACTGCTAACCGCTAATGCTAACAACCACTCACGCATGTAATGTACTTTTAACTAGCTGCTATGTGTTTCAAAGGTGTAGTTAGTAACGTTAACTGCCAACCCTCCGGGTTTCTCACGTATTTGAGCCTTTTCCCGCTGCCGTTTTTATTATTTTCCCGTAAAAGATCCCAACTTTGAAGGAAAGAAACAAAGCAGGCTATAAAATAAAACCGTGCATCTTTAACTTACCAGAATGAAAATGCAGGGAACACACTCTCAATGACATTGGAATACTGTGGAAAGTTATGTTCGGTCGTCTTACAGCCGCGATCCAAGCGATCCAAGCAAGCCGACGACTCTATATCTCTGACGCTTGGTCTCCATGGTTACGCGTCCATCGGTCTCCGCCAGGTGACGTCAATTGTTTACCTCGGGCGCGGTGCATCGTGGGAAAACCACCATATTAGGCGTAAAGTCGAGATAAGCCACACGCGGCTGTTCTTTCGGCACAATTATTTACCAGAAATGACACGATCGTGTTGTGTGAGAGGCTGCCAGTCCCGGTGTCTTGCCAAGGTAGTTATCCCTGCGAAAATTTGTATCCCCTCGTCGGGATCGCGCACGGAGTAGGAAGAACAATCCGAGTTAACTCCACTTCAATTCCAACGTGCCGAACTTGAAATTTGAAAGGTTTTACGTGCATGAAAGTTGAGCTTTACTGTTTTATTCTTTACTTCACATGTTATAGCAGAATATCGCCAGTGATATTGATCTAAAACTAATAATAAAACACAAACGTTGGCTTGAAAGCTGGTCGCTGACAGCAGTGTCTACTCCTCCCTCTGAAAGCAAACAGATCCTTGTTCTTTTCCACACGTTCATTAAAAAAATCTCTCATTGTTTCACAGTGTCCAAATGTTCTCATCCCATTGAAAACTGTTGTAAACCGTAT